TGAAGCAAATCTAGACCATCCTTGACAGATGTTTGTCTAACCTGTTCTTAAAAACCTCCAGTGATGGGGATTCTGCAGCCACCCCTAACATGTTGCTATGCCTAGCTATCCTTACAGTTAAAAAGCTTTTTTCTAATATGCAACCCTATATCTCCCTTGCTGCAGATTAAACCAATTACTACTTGCCCTACTGTCTGTGGGCATGGAGAACAATTGATCACCATCTTCTTTATAACAATCTTTTACATATTTGAAGGCTGTTATCCTGTCCCCACTAAGTCTTCTCTTGTCTAGACTAAATATGCCCAAGTCTTTCAACCTTTCTTCATGGTTCACGTTTTCTAAACCTCATGACACTTTTGTTGGTGCCCTTGAGAATTTCTTCAATTTGTCCATGTTTTTCTTAAAGTGTAGCACCCAAAACTGGACACAGTACTCCAGCTGAAGCCTCTACTGCACAATAAAGCAGAACTATGCATGCTTGTGTGTATGCATACACATGTGGTGTGTTGGTAAGGATGTGGGTGCATGTTTGGTGTTTGTGTGCATGTGTAGGGTAAGATGTACATGTGTGATGCATATGTTGCATCCATGGCTGCCTGAGTGAAGTGTGTGTGATGTCTGTGTGGTGTCTGCATGAGTCTAACTTGCAGTCATAGAGTTTTGCAGTAAACTGCCAGCAGGAGGCAAAGACAATGAGATAACAAGACCTAGAGAACAGCTCAGAAATATTCACTTCTCCCTGTCTCTGCTGTACATGTATCTGCTTCCTCCCTAGAGCAGGAAACGATTGCTTCACTCTGACTCAGGGCAAGCCTACACTACAAAATTAAGTCAACCTAAGTTACATTAATGAACAGCCAACGCAGTAATTATATTGCTTTTGCATGTCCATGCTACACTCGTGTCGACGGTGTGCATCCTCACCAGGCATGCTTGTACGGATTTAACTGCCAGTGTGGGGCATTGTGGGATGGCGTCTGAAAGGCAGCAACAGTCGATGTAAGCAACACAGTGTCTACAGCAGTGGTGGGCAACAGGCTGCTGGTTGCCCATCACTGGTCTACACTGATACTGCAGCAAACTAACCACATTGACTAGGGTTGCCAACCCTCCCAGTTTTGCCGGGAATCTCCTGGAATCAGGCCCTATCTCCCTGAGGCTACTGAAGCCAAACCAGGAGATTTTAGGCGCTAAAAGTCTGGTGGTGCAGCGGGGCTAAGGCAGGCTCCCTGCCTGCCTTGGCCCCATGCCTCTCCCGGAAGTGGCCAGCGCGTCCCTGCAGCCCCAAGGTGTGTGTGGGGGGGGAGAAGGGTGTCTCTGCATGCTGCCCCTGCCCTGAGCACCAACTCTACAGCTCCCATTGGCCAGGAACTTCAGCCCCCCCAGGGACTACAGGGACGTGCCAGCCACTTCTGGGAGCATCACGTCATGGGGCCAGGGCAAGCAGAAAGCCTGCCTTAGCCCCACTGCACCGCCAACTGGGAGCCACCTGAGGTAAGCATCTTCCAGCTGGAGTCCACGACCCTCACCCCCTCCTGCACCCCAACCCCGTGCCCCAGCCCTGAGCCCCCTCCTGCACCCAAACCCTCTCTCAGAGGTTGCACCCTGCACCCTCTACTACACCCCAACCCCCTGCCCCAGCCTAGTGAAAGTGAGTGAGGGTGGGGAAGAGCGAGCGACAGAGGGAAGGGGGATGGAGTGAGCGGAGTGGCGCCTCAGGAAAGGGATGTGGCAGGGGGTGGGGCAAGGGTGTTTGGGTTTGTGAGATTAGACAGTTAGCAACCCTAACATTGACCTAATCACTACGCCTCTCGTGAAGGTGGAGTTATTAAGTCGGTGTAGTGGGCGAGTTACATCAGTGGGAGCTACATTTTAGTGTAGACACTTACAGAGTTAGATCACGAAAGCTTATACTCAAATAAATTTGTTAGTCTCTAAGGTGCCACAAGTACTCCTTTTCTTTTTGCAAATACAGACTAACACGGCTACTACTCTGTAACTCTGTAGTGTAGATCAAGCCTCAGTCTCCTTCCCTGGTCAAAAATAGGCCATATGATATGTCAGTGGGCTCTGATTGGCTGATGGGAAGTCTTGAGAGTCTGGCCAAGCAGCAGGAATGGCCAATGGCAGCTGCAATCCATATGTGCACTGCTGAACCTTTCACCCCTCCAATATTGCCCAGAACACATCTGGGAAATGAGACTCATTATATTCAGTAGCTGGTAGAGCTACAGAAGAGTAGACTGTGAATGGAAGTAGCACTGAGCTTCCGTCCTAGGCCAAATTACCCTGGTGTAACTTAACTGACTGCAGTGAAGTTATATCAGGGTTGAATTGGCCCCAGAACATGTTTTGCATTCTTACCACAGCAGGCTCCTGTTCCTGTAATGGCCTTAGTTGAAAAATGGGTAAAACAACTGTGACACCCAGTGGCAAGACTGGAAAATGACAGGTTCCTTCTGCCTTTCCTATGTTAAGGTTCGATTAGTAGTGTACTGATTTTACACAATGATATTTAGCATTTGTATAGCACTTTAAATACTATTAATCACAAAAAATACGTTAGGCTGCTGGTGCATGGATGCCACTTCCTTTCACGCTGACAAATATTGTCTCATTGTTTCCTTATACACCCCTATCTGTATCCATCTGTTGTCTCACTTTATACTTAGATGTGAGCTCCTTGGGGCAGGGACTGCCTTTTTAGTCTGCTTGTACAGCACTTAGCACAATGGGGTTCTGGTCCATGACTGGGGCTCCTAGGCACTATGGTAATACAGATATGTATCAATATTGTTAATAATAACTAATACTGTTAAAAGAACACTATTAAGGCAGCAAAGTCAGGCACCCAAAGGCTAGGAATTGCCAGAAGTAAGGTTGCCTGTCCACCCTCACTGAGCCTCAGTCTCAGAAATGATTAAGCCAGGACTGAGGCAGACACCCTGACGTAAAATTTCAGCCCAAATGGTTAAAGTTTGACAAAATTATAAGCAACTGAAAAGAGGGTCTTACAATGGGAAGCGTTGTACAACCTTAATAAGAGGCAGGACTATCAGCCCCAGCTGTAAGGGTGAGAGGCTCTTTAAATTAGATTAGATCTGTGTGGTGATAGATGAACTGATGATCTTCAAAGATAATTAATCCTCACAAACAACATCTGAGAACTGAGTAATAACAATGGGTAACAAACCAATGAGGCTAAAACTAGCAGATTACACACCACACGATCCATTGTCTACAGCCAAGCTCTACAATACAACCACATTTGCTCCAATCCCTCAGACAGAGACAAACACCTACAAGATCTCTATCAAGTGTTCTTACAACTACAGTACCCACCTGCTGAAGTGAAAAAACAGATTGACAGAGCCAGAAGAGTACCCAGAAGCCACCTACTACAGGACAGGCCCAACAAAGAAAATAACAGAACGCCACTAGCTGTCACCTTCAGCCCCCAACTAAAACCCCTCCAACGCATCATCAAAGATCTACAATCTATCCTGAAAAATGATCCCTCTCTCTCACAGATCTTGGGAGACAGACCAGTCCTCACTTACAGACAGCCCCCCAACCTGAAGAAAATACTCTCCAGCAACCACACACCACACAACAAAAAGACTAACCCAGGAACCTATCCTTGCAACAAAGCCCGATGCCAACTCTGTCCATATATTTATTTAAGTGACCCCATCATAGGACCTTAGCCACGCCATCAGCAGCTTGTTCACCTGCACATCTACCAATGTGATACATGCCATCATGTGCCAGCAGTGCCCCTGTCCCATGTACATTGGCCAAACCAGACAGTCTCTACGCAAAAAATAAATGGACACAAATCTGACATCAGGAACATAACATTCAAAAACCGGAAGGAGAACACTTCAACTGCTCTGGCCACTCAGTAACAGATTTAAAGGTGGCAATTTTGCAACAGAAAAGCTTCAAAAACAGACTCCAAGGAGAACCTACTGTGCTTGAATTAATATGCAAACTAGACACCATTAACTTGGGTTTGAATAGAGACTGGGAGTGGCTGGGTCAGTACATATAGTGAATCTATTTCCTTAAGTATCCTCACACCTTCTTGTCAGCTGTCTAAATGGGCCATCTTGTTTATCACTACAGAAGTTTTTTTTGCCTGCTCATAATAGCTCATCTTAATTAATTAGTCTCCTATTCCACCTTTTCATGTTCTCTGTATGTATATCTCTTCTTACTATACCTTCCATTCTATGCATCCGATGAAGTGAGCTGTAGCTCACGAAAGCTCATGCTCAAATAAATTTGTTCAGTCTCTAAGGTGCCACAAGTCCTCCTGTTCTTTTTGCGGATACAAACTAACAGGGGCCGCTACTCTGAAACCTAAGATTACATTTCAGAGGAACAGCCCTGTTAGTCTGTATTCGCAAAAAGAAAAGGAGTACTTGTGGCACCTTAAAGCTCATGCTCAAATAAATTGGTTAGTCTCTAAGGTGCCACAAGTACTCCTTTTCTTTTTAAGATTACATTATAAACTCTTTGGAGTAGGTAGGGGCTATGTCTATTTCAACTGAATGTAAAACACTTTGCACACTTTGACCATAATAATAAAGTCAATCTTTAATCATATTAAAGTCAAGAAAGTAAATTAAATAAAGGGCCAGGCGATGCACTTGGCTACCAGCCACTTAGGGAGCTGGGTCTCAGCCCTGCCCCCAGTGCTGCAGCAGGCCTACAGCACCGCACTTGAGGCTGCCCTGTCCCGCTTTGGCTGCTCCCGCTCTCTTCCTGCTGGGGGGTGGGGAGCCGCAATTTAATTCATGTTGCGGGACGGGGGGCGCAGGCGGCAGAGCCCGGCTGGAGCAGCCGGGGGAGGGGCGCGGTGGGGGCTGGGCGGGAGGGATGTGGTGGGGGCCGCCTGGGAAGCGCTCGCTGCCTCCCCGTACCCCCGCCCCCCCGCTCCACGTGCCCAGCGCGAGCCCCGCCCCTCAGGGTGGACGCCCCGCCCGGCCCCGTTGCCATGGGAACGCGCCGCCATGAGCAGCTACACGGTGATCGGGACGGTGCCGGGGCCGGCGGGCGGCGGGGGCCCGAGCCCCGGGGGCCGGTACCGCTCGGGCCTGGCCCCCAGCAGAGCCTTCGACTTCCTCTACGGTACCGGCGAGCGGCCCCGGCAGGGGCGGAGCCGGCTTGGCCCAGAGACCGAGCCGGGGGGCGGCGCCAACCCCGCAGGCCCCGCCCGGGCGGCAGCAGAGGGGGCGGGTTGGCGACGAGGCTCCGCCTCCCGTCACCCCGCGTGCGGCCTCGTGCAGCCCGGCGGGGCCGCGCGGGGTTGCTGGGGGGGAGGGGCGGGCCCGACTCCCCTCAGGCTGGGCGTGGCCGGGGCCCGCGTCGGGCGGGAGTCGCTCGAGCTGTGCGACAGGGGCCGCCCCCGCCCGTCCAGCGCCGCGAGAGGCCTGGCCGGGGCCCGCGTGGTGGGCTGCAGCCGGCGGCCGCAGGGGGGAGCCGCGGAGGCAGCCTGGGGCGTGCTGAGGCGCCGTCAGTCGGGGCTGGGGGACGAGGCTGGAAAAGCGGATCTGGAAGAGGACAGGGAGGCTCCTCCGAGCGCGCGGGGGGGGGAGGCGAAATGGACAGGCTGAAAGCAGCATTAGCGGGAAAGGCGTGGGCAGAGCAGGGAGCCACCTGCGGATGTGCAAGGCCATGCCTGGCGCTTCATTCCACAGGGAAGCAGCAAATGCTCGCTGCTGCTGCTTCCATTCACGGCCGTAGCTACCGTTTAATGGTTTTAAAGGTTGCCAGAAGAGTACTTTAACAATTATGAGCCTTTAATTTCTCCCCACCGGAGCGTGGTCTACTCTGTACAGTAGCAGCATCGAGGCTGACTGGGGGCGGGGGGGGGGGTCAGAGGTGCAAAAGTGTGCTTGCTCTTTTTTATTTCTATGTCTCGTTTAGTCTCTGAAGTGGAAAAACGGACTTCTTGTCAAGGGGAGCCAGGGTATTATTCTGTTCGTTTTCTTTGAATCCATGGGATTGCTTATATTTCAGATCCCTTGTATGTGTTATCAAGTGAGAAGGACCACGCAAAGGCAAATGTCCAGGCTCATCTCCTGTGTGACAAGATGGTAGGTTGTTTCAGCCTGAGACATCTTCAGGAGAGGTTTTTCCCACATTCTTCCCTATATTAAAGGAATATGAATATATATGTAAAAAACTTGATTGCACTTGAGCAATCTTAACTTTACGCAACTTCCTTAGAACAGCACAAGCTCTGTAAAGAAAGGAAATCGTTTATACCTAACACAAAAATAGTTTAATACCTGATGGTCACCACTGTCTTGGGTTGACTTTATACCAATAGTCTAGAAATAAACAGTTCTATGTTCTATTCCTAAGCCCCTAAGTCATGCATCAGTGCTTGAGAATGGGACACCCCTGGATACCTCTGACGACTGGTCTATGGCTCATTAAGGAAAGTCTTAGACATAATAGGAGAATTGGGTTATTGCACTGTTTTTTTAACAGAGCACTTGAAATGTAAGTAATGTTTCACACAATGGCCCTTACTTATTTTGATAGCTGCAGGTGAGCCATTTAGGCAGAATGAAAAAGGGATGTGATACAACTCCAGTGAATCAAAGTTTGACAAACAAGGAGCTTTGTTTTTTGTCCTCCTGGGTTTATTCAGACTTTGCTCTTGAATGAGTAGGTTGGGAAGCATTCTAAACGCTGAGGACCAGCGCTTCTAAAGCAAGCTGACACTTTCCATGCAGTGGAGCCAATAAAAATGTATTATTCAAAACCTGTTTCCTGTCTCCTCCCTCCCTAAACGCTGTTTCTCTGAAGTTTTTCGATGTTCTCTATGGCTATGTCTACAGTAGTAGCTAGTGGTGAGATTCTAGGGTTGCCAGTTTTGGTTGGATGGATTCCTGGAGGTTTCATCACATGACATAATCTTTAATTAAATATTAATCATTAATTCCTGGAGACTCCAGGACGATCCTGGAGGCGACTCTATGGGATTCCCACCTTGCCTACATGTACTAAAAATACCTCTGAGGGTGGGAATCTCAGCTTGCCTAGATGTACTTACAGTAGCTCAATGAGAGCTAGTGCGAGTATAAATAGTTTAGCCTCGGTAGCACAGGTACCAGCGGCAGCAGGGCTAAGCCATGCCAAGTATGTACCTATGGAGTTCAGCTGGGTTTGTACTCAACACAGCTAAGCCACGCTGCTGCTGCTGCCCATGCTACCGTGACTACATTAATATTTATATTCACGCTAGCTCTAATTGATCTAGTGCAGGGGTCTCAAACTCAAATGACCATGAGGGCCACATCACTGACCCCCCCACCACCACTGCCCCAGCCCCACCCCCACTCCACCCCTTCCATGAGGCCCCTTCCCTGCCCCCATTCCAACCCCTTCCCCGAAATCCCCACCCCAACTCCGCCCCCTCCCTGCCCCCAGGGGGTGCAGAAGGGGTGCAGGATGTGGCAGGAGGCTCAGGGCAGGGGTTTGGGGTGCCGGAGGGGTGCAGGGTGCAGGAGGGGTGTGGCAGGGGTCTCAGGGCAGAGGGTCCGGGTGCAGGAGGGGTGTGGCAGGGGCCTGTAGGAGCCTGCCCTGCTCCCAGTGTGCGCTGCCCTGGGCCGGAGTCACTCTAGGTAAACGCTGGGGGGCCGCAGGGAGCTGGCGGGCCGCAGAAAATAACCCCGCGGGCCGCATGCGGGCTGCGTGTTTGAGACCCCTGATCTTGTTTGTGTATGCCCCTATTACTGTAGTATCTGAGAGTCTCATAATCTTTATTTATCCTCACAAAACCCCAATGAGGCAGGGAAGTACTAGTATCCCTATTTTACAGATGGGCGGCTAAGGCACACAGAGATTAATGTGACCTGCCCAAGGTCACGGATGTGTTTTCACTCAGGCTTTGTCTACACTAGCACTTTTGTCAGTCAGGGATGTGAAAAAACACACCCTGACCAACATAAGTTTCACTGACAAAAGTGCCAACATAGCTACTGCCGCTCGTTGGGGGTGGTTTAATTAAGATGATGGGAGAGCGCTCTCCTGCTGGCATAGAGTGGCTACATGGGAGACCTTAGAGCGGCGCAGCTGCAGTGGTACAGTTGTGCTGGTGTAATGTATGTAGTGTAGACATTGCCTCAATCCCTGTAGGTCAAGGGTGTAAATGGCATGATGAGAATCTACCAGTTACACAAAGTTGTTTGACCTTGTTGGACTCTGCTGTCACTGTGGTTTCTGGTGTGGCTTCCATGCAGGTAGCAAAGAGCATAGACATACCCACAAATCTTTCTGTCACTTCTAGCTCTGAGTGCATTTTTTGTTTAAAGTATCTGATGATGCACCCTTCTGATTCTGGTTAGTCTCAGAAACACTAGATTTCTGAAAGGGAGCCCTTGTATATTGGCTGCTACATGTCCAGCCTATGTATGGTGTACTCCCTCTTGTCTGAAAACCCCAGAATCCAAATTTAGGCCCAAAGTGCATCACTTATTTGAAAATCTCCTCTTCATGTCAAAATTCCTGTTTAGCCAGATAAATTCCATGTTCCACCATCCTATTTATTTTTTCCTTTTGGTTTGTTTAAAATGTGCTTATCCACAGTTCTGACCATCTGAATAAGCAGCTGCCTAGTATATAATACAAAACAAGCTGGTTTTGAATTCTGGGGTTATAATGTCATCTGATGGGGTGAGGGTGGTTCTTATAACTTTATGACAGCATTTCCCAAACTTTGAAAGTTGAGTCTTCCTTCAGGAAAATGAAATAAATGGTGCCACCGTTCAACCTTGCCATCTATTGTTAAAGGCTTAGTCATAATGAGCCATCATTTAGAGTAGAGTGTATAGATCTTCATAGTATGACGCTTCCTTTCCTTTCTTACATACTTTGATGAACAGGGAAATAGCACAATGCTGACATTTGGGGCATGTCTGTACTGCGGTTGAGGAGTGTGATTCTCAGCATGGGTATACAGACTTGTGCTGTCTCTGCTGGCGCTAGCATGCTGAAAGTAGCAGTGTGGATGCTGCAGCACAGGCAGCAGCTCGGGCTAGTCTCCTGAGCTCAGACTCCAGTGGTCAGGTGGGCTTGGACTCTGGCAGCTAGACCGAGCTGCTGCCAGGCCCACAGGGTCTGTTTACCTGCACTGGAAATCACACTTCCCAGCTACAATGTAGGCAGGCATACCCTTACATTAATTGGGCTTCTGAGTTAGCACCCACTGAAATAAATGGGGCAATTCATATCTTAAAGCTGATTTCAAGCTTTCTGCTGACTTAGACAAATGTAGCTGCATCCATTATACTTGGGCCACATTTTCAAGGATTTCTTTGCAGCTACATAGGTTGATACTTAGCATCTCCATGCCCCTGCTGTTTAGTCCTGTATGTTCCTCATTTTGAGAAGCACTCTGTTATTGATTGATGTCATTAGAGCATGCTGTCACCTCTACCACCCAGGTTTATAGCGCTGTAATTCACAGTAACTTGTTTAATCTCTATATATTTCTCATGCCTTGTTTACATATAGACTCAAAAACACTAGTTGAAGCGATGATCTCTTAAGTATTGCATGGAATTGCTAAATAACAACTGCCATTTCTCTTGTCTACACATTAAAATTAGAAAAAGATGCCGATTTTTAAAACCATGTTTAGCAGTCTGATCCATTATCCCTGGTACGATCTGCGTTTGGAGGAAAGAAATCCCGTGCCCCCATTTATTGACCGAAGATGGAGAGGCAGGGCCCAGCAGCGCCTAGAGGTTCTTCAGCAGCTTGCTAGGTAAGTGTCCTACCATTGGACTATATTAAGAAAAAAAAAACAAAAAAACAATACAGGATAGATGACTGCAGTTTGCTCCTATTTAGATCTTACTTGAAACTGATTCAGAGGTTGCAGCTGTTGTGGAATATGGCCATCCATCTGCTTTTTTGGGATTGGGTGTTCTACATTCATCCAACTCTATCTGCACTGGTTGCCAATAAATCAAGAGATTTATTTAAAGCTCTCGTTTTCAACGTTGTAAAAACTTCAATGATCCAGGCTGGAGCTACTTAAGTGATAGCCTTTCTCCTTTGTCCCTCCCAGACTGAAGCTGACTGGATTGTCCTTGCTATGCATCCCAAGGTTTCATTTGGACTGGACTAGACTAGGGCCTTCTTAGTGCAGGAGACTTTCCCAATATGTCCATTAGGATCCCAATTCAGCAAAGTACTTCAGTACGTGTTTAAGTGCTGTAGTGAATCAAGGGCTGGAGTCCCTCTGTAGCTGTATTCAAGATTCTGTGTGAGGCCTTCCTATTTAGGTCAGGATCTGACCACTTCCCTTTCCTTTTTCAGAAGCCCCATTTTGTTTGGTCTCTTTTCCTTAGCCCGCCTTGTTTGTTTTGACTAGAGTTGCTGATTACCTGGTCCACTTGGACTAGAGTTGTTTAAATATGATTTTGTTATTTTTTTCCCTTGTGCGCATCTGGGACACTGTGCAACAGGTGCTATATCAGTTAACAAAATAACACAACATAATTTTGAATAACATATTGCATATAAAGTTACTTCCCAAACCACTTCAAAGAATTAAGGTACAGAGGAAGAGGAAGCTGAGGATAGAGAGGTTGTTCTAGTCAGACAATAGGAACTGCGGAAGAAAGATTCTGCTGCACCAGCTCACATGGAGGGATAAAAAAGAGAATAGTGCTAGGCATGCAGAAAGAATGGGGAAAGGAACAAAAGTTTTGAAAAGTACAATAGGCTGTGTCATGTCCGTGGAGGGGTTTAAAATCAAAGAGGGCAATTTTGAATTGGATCCTGAAATGAATCGAGAGCCAATGGAGTGATGTGAGGAGATACTTGAGCTTGTCAGAAAATGGGCAGCAGTATCGGAAGAGCTGGGAGTCAGAGAGGCTATTTGGAAGGGCTAGTCAGTAGTCAGACAAGGAGGGATGTTGGCCTGGATGAAGACGTCACAGGTTTTTTTTTTTAAGCATACACAAACTAATTCTTTACTCTATCGAGTCTTTATGTTATACTTTCAAAGTTTTAAATGTCACTGCTGTGCTCTTTTCCTCTCATCTTATTTTGATCAGAAGTTGAAGTTTGCCAGATTCAGATTGTAAATAAGATGTACATTTTTAACAGTGAGGGTAATTAACCATTGGAACAATTTACCAAGGCTCATGGTGGATTCGCCATCACTAGCTGGCAACATTTAAATCAAGATTAGATGTTTTTCTAAAATATATGTGCCAGTTTAAACAGGAATTAATTTGGGGGAACTCCTATACCCTGTGTTATATAGGAGATCAGACTAGATCATCACTGTCAAGGTTCCTTCCCCACTCTGAACTCTAGGGTACAGATGTGGGGACCTGCATGAAAACCTCCTAAGCTTACTTTTACCAGCTTAGGTTAAAACTTCCCCAAGGTACAAACTATTTTACCTTTTGCCCTTGGACTTTCGCTGCCACCACCAAACGTCTAACCGGGTTTATTATTGGGAAAGAGTCGGGGGGAAACGTCTTTCCCCCCAAAATCCTCACCAAAACCTTGCACCCCCCTTCCTGGGGAAGGTTTGATAAAAATCCTTACCAATTTGCATAGGTGACCACAGACCCAAACCCTTGGATCTTAAGAACAATGAAAAAAGCATTCAGTTTCTTACAAGAAGAATTTTAATAGAAGAAAAAGTAAAAAGAATCACCTCTGTATAATCAGGGTGGTAAATACCTTACAGGATAATTAGATTATCCTGTAAGGTAACATAGAGAATCCCTCTAGGCAAAAACTTAAGTTACAAAAAGACACAAAGACAGGAATATCCATTCCATTCAGCACAGCTTATTTTCTCAGCCATTTAAAGAAGTCATAATCTAACGCATATCTAGCTAGATTACTTACTAAGTTCTAAGACTCCATTCCTGTTCTGTCCCTGGCAGAAGCATCTCACAGACAGACCCAGACCCTTTGTTTCTCCCCCCCCCCCCCCCAGGTTTGAAAGTATCTTGTCTCCTCATTGGTCATTTTGGTCAGGTGCCAGAGAGGTTATCCTAGCTTCTTAACCCTTTACAGGTGAAAGGGCTTTTCCTCTGGCCAGGAGGGATTTTAAAGATGTTTACCCTTCCCTTTATATTTATGACAATCACAGTGGTGCCTTCCGATCTTATCATCTTTGTACCAGCATGAAAGTAGCAGGTGACAGCAGCACTGGCTGTTCTCACATTTACTTCTTGCATTAACTGTGTCAACAAGCTGCCTCTAGACTCTGACCTGGTTTTGTGATGTATCTCCTTATGGTTGAAAGTGATTGAGCTTTAAAGTATAATTAACAATAGTGAAACAGGTTTCAGAGTAGCAGCCGTGTTAGTCTGTATCCGCAAAAAGAAAAGGAGGACTTGTGGCACCTTAGAGACTAACAAATGTATTTGAACATAAGCTTTCATGAGCTATAGCTCACTTCATTGGATGCATTCAGTGGAAAATACAGTGGGGAGATTTATATACACAGAGAACATGAAACAATGGGTGTTACCATACACACTGTAACGAGAGTGATCAGGAAGGTGAGCTGTTACCAGCAGGAGAGCGGGCCGGGGGGTGGGGGGAAACCTTTTGTAGTAATAATCAAGGTGGGCCATTTCCAGCAGTTGACAAGAACATCTGAGGAACGGCCGGGGGAGGAGGGAATAAACATGGGGAAATAGTTTTACTTTATGTAATGACCCATCCACTCCCAGTCTTTGTTCAAGTTAATTGTATCCAGTCTGCAAATTAATTCCAATTCAGCAGTCTCTCGTTGGAGTCTGTTTTTGAAGTTTTTTGTTGAAGAATTGCCACTTTTAGGTCTGTAATCAAGTGACCAAAGAGATTGAAGTGTTCTCCGACTGGTTTTTGAATGTTATAATTCTTGACGTCTGATTTGTGTCCATTTATTCTTTTACATAGAGACTGTCCAGTTTGACAATGTACATGGCAGAGGGGCATTGCTGGTACATGATGGCATATATCACATTGGTAGATGTGCAGGTGAACGAGCCTCTGATAGTGTGGTTGATGTGGTTAGGCCCTATGATGGTGTCCCCTGAATAGATATGTGGACACAGTTGGCAACGGGCTTTGTTGCAAGGATAGGTTCCTGGGTTAGTGGTTCTGTTGTGTGGTGTGTGGTTGCTGGAGAGTATTTGCTTCAGGTTGGGGGGCTGTCTGTAAGCAAGGACTGGCCTGTCTCCCAAGATCTGTGAGAGTGATGGGTCGTCCTTCAGGATTGGTTGTAGATCCTTGATGATGCGTTGGAGGGGTTTTAGTTGGGGGCTGAAGGTGATGGCTAGTGGCATTCTGTTATTTTCTTTGTTGGGCCTGTCCTGAGGTAAGTAACTTCTGGGTACTCTTCTGGTTCTATCAATCTGTTTCTTCACTTCAGCAGGTGGGTATTGTAGTTGTAAGAATGCTTGATAGAGATCTTGTAGGTGTTTGTCTCTGTCTGAGGGATTGGAGCAAATGCGGTTGTATTGTAGAGCTTGGCTGTAGACAATGGATTGTGTGGTGTGGTCTGGATGAAAGCTGGAGGCATGTAGGTAGGCATAGCGGTCAGCAGGTTTCCAGTATAGGGTGCTGTTTATGTGACCATCACTTATTAACACCGTAGTGTCCAGGAAGTGGATCTCTTGTGTGGACTGGTCCAGGCTGAGGTTGATGGTGGGATGGAAATTGTTGAAGTCATGGTGGAATTCCTCAAGGGCTTCTTTTCCATGGGTCCAGATGATGAAGATGTCATCAATGTAGCGCAAGTAGAGTAGGGGCATTAGGGGATGAGAGCTGAGGAAGTGTTGTTCGAAGTCAGCCATAAAAATGTTGGCATACTGTGGGACCATGCGGGTACCCATAGCAGTGCCGCTGATTTGAAGGTATACATTGTCCCCAAATGTGAAATAGTTATGGGTGAGGACAAAGTCACAAAGTTCAGCCACCAGGTTTGCCGTGACATTATCGGTGATACTGTTCCTGACGGCTTGTAGTCCATCTTTGTGTGGAATGTTGGTGTAGAGGGCTTCTACATGCATAGTGGCCAGGATGGTGTTATCAGAAAGATCACCGATGGATTGTAGTTTCCTCAGGAAGTCAGTGGTGTCTCGAAGATAGCTGGGAGTGCTGGTAGCATAGGGCCTGAGGAGGGAGTCTACATAGCCAGACAATCCTGCTGTCAGGGTCCTAATGCCTGAGATGATGGGGCATTCAGGATTTCCAAGTTTATGGATCTTGGGTAGCAGACAGAATACCCCTGCTTGGGGTTCTAGGGGTGTGTCTGTGCGGATTTGTTCTTGTGCTTTTTCAGGGAGTTTCTTGAGCAAATGCTGTAGTTTCTTTTGGTAACCCTCAGTGGGATCAGAGGGTAATGGCTTGTAGAAAGTGGTGTTGGAGAGCTGCCTAGCAGCGTCTTGTTCATATTGCGACCTATTCATGATGATGACAGCACCTCCTTTGTCAGCCTTTTTGATTATGATGTCAGAGTTGTTTCTGAGGCTGTGGATAGCATTATGTTCTGCACGGCTGAGGTTATGGGGCAAGTGATGCTACTTTTCCATAATTTCAGCCCGTGCACGTCGGCAGAAGCACTCTATGTAGAAGTCCAGTCTGTTGTTTCGACCTTCAGGAGGAGTCCACCCAGAATCCTTCCTTTTGTAGTGTTGGTAGGAAGTTCTCTGTGGGTTAGTACGTTGTTCAGAGGTGTGTTGGAAATATTCCTTGAGTTGGAGATGTCGAAAATAGGATTCTAGGTCACACAGAACTGTATCATGTTTGTGGAGGTGGAGGGGCAGAAGGAGAGGCCCCGAGATAGGACAGATTCTTCTGCTGGGCTAAGCATATAGTTGGATAGATTAACAATATTGCTGGGTGGGTTAAGGGAACCACTGTTGTGGCCCCTTGTGGCATATAGTAGTTTAGATAGTTTAGTGTCCTTTTTCTTTTGTAGAGAAGCAAAGTGTGTGTTGTAAATGGCTTGTCTAGTTTTTGTAAAGTCCATCCATGAGGAAGTTTGTGTGGAAGGTTGTTTTTTTATGAGACTATCCAGTTTTGAGAGCTCATTCTTAATCATTCCCTGGTTGCTATAGAGGATGTTGATCAGGTGGTTCCGCATTTTCTTTGAGAGTGTGTGGCACAGCTGTCAGCATAGTCTGTGTGGTATGTAGATTGTAATAATGAGATGAGTAGCTTATGATAACCCAGTTAGATCATGAAAATAAGTGCTCACCTGTGCTGAGTGAAATAAGAATTCATCTGGATGGAGAAGCACTCTGACATGTGGAGACAATGCCAGTAGCAAAAGCCATCAGTTCAATTAACTGGTTTGAACTGTTAGCAAAATTTTACAATTAAAGGTTTGTCAGAGTCAAGAAAGCATTTCAGGTTCAGATACTAGCATCGTGACCCAAATATTATTTTGTTGCAATACACTGGGGCAGGTGCTGGGAAAGGATGATTTAAAATGACCTCTGCAATGTATTGTACACCAGAGAAGGATGATGAAGCCTCATTCTGTACAGTGTTTGTGGTAGGGATTGGCTAAACTGTGGGTCTCTAAGTTCCACAATGCAACTCTTGAGCCTGTGATGTGAGGTTCTTGGACTCAACAGATCACAGCAGGCAGAGCTCTGTTCAATCCAAATAGTCAAACCACATTTCCTATTGGTATCTATGTCTCTTTAAGCCACACCTCTGGATTTAAAATTAAGGCAACAACAAACTGCTCCATTTTATATAAATTAGTTTCAGGCTTCTGGTAAGTTGCCAAAGATGGTCTTAAATAGGGCGAAGTGTGACTTTTTGAACTTGTGGAATGACTTAGCTGGTGCTGTGGCATGAGGTTTTTCAGGGAACTCTATTTCCTGTCTAACCCTTTTCATTCATTGCCTCCTGAGCTCTCTAAATAATGTACAACATCCAAGAAGACATGGACAGGAAATTATAGACAGTCTATTGCCCTACTTCAAACTCAGTGTTGGGTCTCCAGGATGGGAAATTAGATGGGGGGGGGGGGAGTATTGGCTGTTTTTACAAAGGCTGTATTCCAGCCAGTACACTCCTTAAACTATCCACAAGGTTAGCCTTATTCTTCTTTACTGTTGGAGAACGCAGAATGAAAGTTTTAGAGCCAGCCTGTTATTTCCAGGTTTGATCAAAATCTGTTTAGCCATTTTTTAGTTAGACAGGGTGACTCTTCCCCTTCATTTGCTGCATCCCCTCTCTTGTATTTTGTGCCATACAAATATATTCAGATTATTTTGCACACCCACACATACAAATAAAAGTAACAGAATTTTACAAATTCAGATTTTCCAGATGGTTAATCTTCTTTGAGCAATAGTCTCCAGGCCCAAATTTTATTTTAACAGAAGTAATAAATGACTGATTTTTGTATATGCACAGTGTGAAATTTCCATTAAGTTTAGAGCTGCAGTGTTATATGAGAAACTATAGAATAATGTAAATGCATAATCTTGATCTTACTTAAGCAGGTAAGGGTGTTTGCTGCTACTTCATTATAGAGTTTGAGGTGTGTATGTTTTGATGATGCAACTGTGGAAATCCAGAGTGAAATAATAAATATTGAAGTATAGTTAAAAAAGTATCTTTTAAAAAAAAAACTCAGAACTTCTCTGAACACACTTTTTGAAAATATTTTGATCTGTTTTTATCTTTTTTGGCTTTTTAGATCTCAACCTTCTCTTCAGATTCCTCAAATTGTGTATGAAGATCCTGAAATTAATGGAAGGAACCGCTACAAGTATTTTGAACGGTAAGAAATGAATTAACGACTACCGTATATGGAATAGGCCAAATTCCTAATCTCAGTCACTCTGCCTCTGACACTGGTGCAACTCCAGTAATATCAGTGGAGTTGCTCTGGAACACTGGTGCCATTGAGATTAGAATCTAGTCCACTGTGTGACTGAGCACTGAAAAAATGTGAAATACTTAACTTGTATAGGCAAGTGCAACAGCCAGTCTGTGCTTAGCAGTTGCTCACGCATAGCCTTTGGCATTAGACCCTGTCATACTAAGGGAGAGATGCAGCTGGCCCAGCTATTGTGGTTTTCCAGTCTCTTGGAAATATAAAAGGGGGATTTTTAACTTCAGTTTTGCTACCACTGAAACAAGCAGAGAGAACCACAATTTAACTTTTCATCAGAAGAATGACTCCTCTTTCAGAGCCACACCTCCCCTAGAATTACACTGCAGCCCTGGCGTTGGTCTCAAGATTTAGTATAGGACTTGAAACAACTGCTAAATGCCCTGATACAAGAGTTTCCAGTTTCATTCATTGTTGATGTGTGCAGGCTCAACTGCCTTTACTTCAGGGGACTTGTCTTATACTATTAATGAATTTAGCCCCTTTTAAATCCAGTTTTCCAACATTTCTCATATTTTGCTAGGCTGATAAAAATGAATCAAAGATGTTTAGGGTTATTTTAGCAAAAGGAAGATACAGGGTGGCTTGTTCACTGCCACAATTTTAACTTAAACTTTTAAAAGCCTCGTAAAGAGGCTTTTAGGAAAGCTTGGTAATGAAACTAGGTTAATATTAGTCTCATCTGACATGGAAATTCCTATTGTATGTTTCTAAGCAGGAATTATTAATTAATAATAGTAATACTTAGGACTTCAAGCACATTTCACTTTAAAACTGTCTTACTGCACTGAAGGAAACAATCATATTAGATAAACTTAAAATATAGTTGACCTTTCAAGCTGATTTATGTCATAGAATTCCACTTCCGGATTCCCACAGGGTTTAAAGAAACCCAAACATATGTACAATGCTGAGAATACACTCAATAGTAATCTTATTCTGGTAACTCTCTTGCTGTTCAACCCCAGCTTGAATTACAACATGATTTTAGCAGCCGCTATCTTGAGAGCTTCTAGCACTCAAAATTTTTCTACCACCTTAAAGCCGCTTGGAATTCTATCTGACAAAGAATTAAAGTATTAGTTGTTAATGCTAAAAATTTCTGAGACATTGGCTGCTAAACTAGGCCAGTAAACTCTTCAAGTACTAATCTGGGGTAGTGGGACAACATGGCCTAATAGGTGTTCTCAAGTTCTAACTTCTGAGTTAATATCTTTTTGTAGGGGGGGGAAAAAGAGCTAAAAAGGTAAGAGTGAGCTAGAAAGGTGAGACTTGTATGAACAACACTGAACATCACATTAAACCAGTGCATAACTTTATAAATAGTGAATGTGAATTGGACTATGTCATCACACACACCTCAGGTTATGTGAAGGTTTTCAGGGCAAGTGTTTTTTTGGTGCGGAGAAAAATATATAGTAATGGACAAGGGGAGAACTTTGTAGTGGGACAGTATAGTAGTAGACTCACATCTGAGCCAACCAGTCTTCGTATTGTCTCTCTCAATCCTAACATATATATATATATATGAACTAAGCAATTAACAGTGTTGGTCCTGATTCTCCTCTTCTCACCCCAGTGTAAATCAGTGGTGACTCCCTTTAAATTAATGGTGTTGGGCCAGTGTACGAAGTTGTGTAAATGAAAAGCAAACTGGGCTCTTTGAATGAGGAAGAATTTTTCCACTTGTATAGAACAACAATTCTCACATGTTGAGTTAAGAAGTAATGACAGAGTTTCTATAAAAGATTAAAGAACTCCTAACTAATATGTGTCCTTAAACGTGCAGAAACAGATTCTCAGCCGTTGTAAATCAGCACTGAAGTCAGTGGAGCTACACTGTTTTACAACATCTGAGGATCTGGTCCACAGTTTTGCTAAGCTGTAATATTCTGTTATTGTGCATCTTACTCTCATGGCTGTTGTCTTAAACATGTTTTCTCTCTTTGCAGACCTTTCATCCCCTTTCATAAGCCATTTCCACTAAACATTGCTTATGCAGTGGCAAAGTAAGTGGTGAGGTTTAAAAAAACAGTTACAACAGGTCAATCTTTAGCCACAAATGGCTACAGGAGACTAGTATTTTTAATAATGAAGCAATAGAGAGCAATTTAAAAGTTCAGAAAGAATCTGTCCACCAGCATGAAATCCCAGAAAAAGCAAGTTAGGGCCAGATGCCTACAGCTTAGTTCAGACAGAGCTTGGGATATGTAAGCAGCACCACATGATGCAAGAAACAGAGAGCCAAATGTCTAAGTATTAGAGGAGAGGAAATGTCTGATATAGCCACACTTTGAGATGTTTGTTGCTGATTTTATCAAATGGTTTTGCGCTGTTTATTTGCATACAACATCCTTATAGTAGGATATCCTTGGTATTCCGGGGTGGGGGGACGACACACCAAATTCAGACGTGACATAAATGAGTACAGCTCCCAGTGAAGTCACTGGAATTGTGAATTGTAAATTGGTTAGTCTCTAAGGTGCCACAAGTACTCCTTTTCTTTTTGCGAATACAGACTAACACGGCTGTTCCTCTGAAACTGGAATTGTGCTTACTTATGGAGGAATTTAATTATTTCCTGTTTGTGTTGAAATGGCACAGGCATAAGTTAAAATACAGCAGTCCTGCTTTATCTTGTATTCTTCTGTTAATTGTTTTTCAAGCTACACCCCTTTCCAACAGATTTATTTTCCACACCCACTGAATGCCAGATCAGTGCAAGTTGTTACACCAGACATGAAACTTACATCATTGTTTATCTCACTGTTGAATTTGGCCCAAATACGTCCATCAAGTTGCAGCTACTTACATCAGGCTGCATTTGGCCCTTAATCCTTAAATACAATGCTGTAATATCCATATGTGTTAGATACTTGCACGTAACAATTAAGCTTCTTGATGCAGAAGGTTCATGGTTTACGTTCACATAGGGAGGGATTTTAAGAAGTGCTCAGCAAAGGCCTAACTGCTCTCACTGAAGTCAACTCCATTGATTTCAGTGGGAGCAGAGTTAAGCTAAAGCTGAGCACTTTTGAAAATCACATCTGTAATGAATATTATCTCAAGTTTTAAAAAATTAATGTGACAGCATATACAAAAACGTGTTCTGGCTCATGTTTGTTTTTTAGAACAGAGCCATATGTTTACCCCTCCATCACCGGTGACAGATCACGCTCCCCCACATCACGAACTCTGGGTACACAGACGGATTATCGGGATGGCGAAGCTCAGACTGACCCGTATTCCCCAGAATATGTAGTACCTCTGGGTTCAATCCCTGAACTGCTGACACTTGCCATTCTCACTTGGGGTGAGTTGGAAGAACCATAAACATTTCTTTACAATAATAGTGCTCTCTTCCCTTGAGAATGGCAGAATTGCTGTTTCTCTCTATCAGATGTCAGTTCTCTCAGCTTTGACATTACCTTGCTGTGTTTCACTGGGATGTATCAGTTTATCTAGCTTTAAAATGGGTGTAATAAAAATATTTACCTACATAACAGGCCAATTATGAGGCATTTTGTAAGGTGTTTTGAGATCTTTTTGTTAAATGGCAAAAGATATTGTAAGTGCAAATTATTATTATTATGATTTTCATTTTTCTTTCCACTACTACGAATGCCACCTGCCTCCAACAGTGGTGAATGCTGGATGCTTCAGAGTAAGGTGTCAATCCTCAAAATGCATCTAAATATGAATGCTGTTCCTTGGAAGGGAAATTTCTTTCTTACCTTTCCCCACCCCCAAATGGATCTCTTTATGTCCAGGAGCAGGAGGAATGACAACCCCCTTTTTACTGTTACCATAATTATGGTAACTGCAGACTATTCACATTTTTAAAACTCACTGAGCTTGTTGCCTCAGATTTGTTAACTTCCATCTGTCAAGTATTCTCTCTCTATTTACTCTAGGATTTTCAACTGTGCTTATCGCTCTAATAGCTTTATATGTTACTCATGGGTATTGCCCTGCCCCACAGTCTTTCTAAAGAACTACTGCTTCTTGTCCCTGTAAGGGCGGGGTCTTCCAGCAGGACAAGCTGAGGTGGAGATGATTGAACGTGCCCGGGAGAAACGTGCCTGGGAAGCAACTCTACCACCACTTAGTGATCTCTCACAAACTGAGAAGAGGAGGAAGATGATGGATGACATGGAGAGAAAAGAGTGGGCCTTTAGAGAACAGGAAATAGAAAAGTAGGTGCAAATTGGACACAGTGTTTCTCTTTCAGTTGTAAGGAACCTAAGTGGAGTTTGAAATCAAGTAGGTCAGGGGATTGGCAGTAGGATGCATGGACTTTTATCTCTAGGTTGCCTATTCGTTAGTGACTGAAGGTCATCATTTTTTGTAATTTGAGTCCAATTCCTCCGAAAAACCACCACCACAAATGGCACTCTTGTTGGGGTATTCAGAATAGATGAAATTCTGAACGGGCATGGAGGAACCACACTGAAATTGAAGTACACTGACTTTTGGGGAGTTTTTTGGTGAAAAAATGCACCAGGGATAAACTCACTTTTAAAAATGAACAGACTAAAATGTGATATTTGCAGTCTGGCTGTATTTTACGGATAGGTCAATGCGTAGGTTGTGTTTAAATATAGCAGTGCAGTTTGGGAGCTCTGTGAGCACCTCCATTTATACCTTGCCTTTTTTTCTCTTGAAGATTGCAAGATGTTCGACTAGAAGTTTTAAAGAAGCTTTTGAGGAGACGAGAGGAGGGTCAGAATGAGGTGGATGTCAATCGTTTGGACACCCATTGGTTTAACCGTCAGCAAGACAAAGAAGAGAGAGTGAGAAAAATTAAACACGAACATATAAAAGGTAATTTGGAGGATAAGGAAATAGTAGAAGGGGGACTTAGTTTCCATACCAAGCTATCTCTCGCATTCCATTTTTACAAGGCTGCAGCTGTGTATTCAAGATGAGGACATCCACAGACCACACTATAGAACTCCTTGGGCCATATTGGTCTGTCAGCCACACTTCATACTAGAGGAATGACAGCCTGACTGAATTTCTTAGGATATGACTCTTTCAGAACTGTACATGTCAGGGAATGTCTCATGGTTGCAATTCCTTTTCAGCAATGAGAAAGCTGATAGCTAAAGGGAAGAATGTGGAGGGGAAGTTGGTGAGACGAGATGTCATCAGGGACTATACTGATTATGCATCACAGCCCTATGGACCTCTGTCCAGAATTGGTTATTTTCCGGACAACCATTCTGAACGTTATGTAGTAAAAAACCACTTTCTTAACACCTACGAGGGTAAGGCAGCTTGGAAAATCTTAAATTATATGTTATTGACTAAAAATATTAGCATAAGCCTGTACAACAATCTAATATCTCTCTCTTCTTCCGCCCTGTCTCATACTCTCACTCCATCTTTTCTAGGATTGCTTGAACTGGAGGCATCTCTCCCAGACTCTGTCACTCAGCCCTGGACCAAAGCTCCGAAACCCAAGACCACCACCACTAAAGAAGGGTTTATTAAGCGGACTGCTAGGCTAGATATGGAGCTGGCACAGGTTCACCAGGTATGGTGCTGCAGCCAAGAGCAAGTAAATTCTTTCTAGATTTGAGATGTACCTTACATGGAAATGCTATTGGGAAGGCACAGCTGTCAACTATCTCCAAATTCACTTCCTAAATTCCCCTCTTAATGCTTTTATAAAGACAGAAATAAGGCCATCTTCAGGGAGAGAACATATCAAATATGAATAACTAGTGGGTTGTCATTTGGCATGATGAGTACTGTTCTGAACTCAACTAGTCTCCCTTTCTCTATCTCTTCCACATTTTCCCTCTTCTGTGCATACCCTGTGGAAAGCCTCCTAGTTTGACGGAAGGAGTAGCTTTCTCTCTTTCCCATCCCCAGTCATTCACGGACGTCCATTTTTCCTCCTCTTTGTTTCTTCTGCCCTATGAAAATGTGATGAGACTATGAAATCTGATGTAAATCAGCAGTTCTCCTCTTCCCTATGCTTGCCTTCCTTTCCCCATCTCTTTAAAAAAATTTAAAAATACGACAAACCTATTGGTTAAAATGTCAAATTATTATTATTTAAATCAACCAAAGCAGAATCAGAATTTTCAAAATTCTGCACATCTGAAGTAAAGTGGGTCAATTGTCCCAACTTATCCAAATTGGATTAGATCAGTGGAAGCAGATCACTGCTGTTACCTAGCAACTTAGTTAAGTATCGTCTGATTGTCTGAATACATAAAACGCACATGGTTGTCACTACATCTGTGCAAGCAAATCTGTTGTCCACACCTGTAAATGACCAATGTCTAAGCAAATACCCTATCTGCACATGCAATCACAGTATTTACAGTTGAAATTGTAAATTGTAGGTGAATTGTAAGGCATGCATCTTGTGTTGCAATTACAGACCTGTGTTTTTGAAAATCAGGCCTATTGGATAAGGCATTCCTAAAGTAAATATTATTTATTATACACACCATTTCGTCAGTTTTATTAGTTTTTTCTTCAAATCCAGTTGATAAGAAATATGTAGTCATGCATAGTGTGTGTGTATATAATTTTTTTTTCTTGTTTTAATGTAGCACAATAATATATTTAATACAGGCAGTAACTTTCTGTTAATAGAGCTGAAATCTTGCATTGAAATAACTACCATACTACCTCAAATTCAGTCATCTGATCTTATGAAAGACAGTGTTGGATTTGGTCACTACTTGGACGGAAAATTTTCAAGGAAAAAACTTCAGATGTGTAGGAAGTGCTAAGGAGCTGTCTTTATGGAGTCAGTACTGAACCAATGCCCCCTGTGGTGGTACACTGTATGTCAGGGGTGGGCAAACTTTTTGGCCTGAGGGCCACATGTGGGTATGGAAACTGTATGGCAGGCCATGAATGCTCTCGAAATTGACACTTCAGAGATATTCAAATAAACTTTATTTAATAAAGATATATTTTAGAAGAAATAAACGTAAAACCTTACATACTATTATAAATATACCATCATAACAATATATTACAATAATTAAACCAAACTTACCCCCTTTTCACGCCCTTTCTCTCTAGCCTGGATTTGTTGGGCATCAGCTTCCAGTCATTAGAACTCACTGAGATTCACCAGCCCCCTACTCTCAGAAATCTCCTCCCACGTAGGTTCCGACAGCCCACAACTTTGAAAACTGCTTTCGAGTGCTCCCTGGCCAACTGCTCTTTGTTTTATCCTCAACAATGGAAAATTAACACTACTAAAACATCAGCATCACCTAAGCCAAGAAGTAGCAGGCATGTGGGCTCGCACATTCCAGGCTCTGATGGCGCGTAAAGCACATTCGGGTTTTGCAGCCGGAGTAACATGCGTGCCCTCACGCCCGTCATGCAAGCCCCCAGCCTCGGACAGAGCAGGGCAAGCCCCCAACCGTGCTTCCCAACCGGAGCGCTGGAGTGGAGCAATGGAGCTTGAGGGCCAGATTAAAAGGTCTGACAAGCCGGATGTGGCCTGTGGGCCATAGTTTGCCCATCCCTGCTCTATGCTATTGGAGGTGTCATGTGTCTTCTGCATAAAACCAAGGTCCTGATCACCTGTGGTCATGATCAGATGGCAAGATATTCCTGGCATTCTTCCAAGAGTTAGAGATGTCAGCTCATGGTTTTCTGGCTAAATTCCCATTTCAGCAATTGCATTGTCTGTCTGTTTAAGGACTTCTCATGGTTTTGACAGACTATAGTAAAGATTCCCAAACTGTAGTCATGGATTACAAGTGGTCCCCAGAGTTGGCTGGTCAGTAATGATGGCTCTTTTCCTTGGTGTCAGCTGAGAGAAATAGATGGAGCAGGGGAGACTTAATTCAGAGTGAAAATAGAGGTAGTGGGCCAGATTTCGGGGGGAGGGATAGCTCAGTGGTTTGAGCATTGGCCTGCTAAACCCTGGGTTGTGAGTTCAATCCTTGAGGGGGCCATTTAGGGATCTGGGGCAAAAATTGGGGATTGGTCCTGCTTTGAGCAGGGGGTTGGACTAGATGACCTCCTGAGGTCCCTTCCAACCCTGATATTCTATGATTCTTACCTGCTATAAATCAGCATAGCTCAAATAACTTCAGTGAAGCTGCACTGATTTACACCAGCCATGGATCTGGTCTACTGTGATGGATTTTTCAAAAGGGGGAAAACATTTATTTATTGAATTAAAAACACCTAAAATACACATTCTTTTTTCCACAAAAATCTGCATATCTATTACAATGGGTCTTACTCCTACCTGTGGTTACTTGGAGGCAGAGCCAGACCTGTCAATCAAGGCAGGATGGGGATGGCCACACCCCTGAAGACCCCGCTAGTCAGCTTGAACTGGCTCCATCAACTGCAGGGAGGCTTAACCAGTTCTTCTGCTCAAAGGAACAAGAAAATAAAACAATCAGAAAAGGATTCTTTTTATCATAATAGTCAGCTTATTGGATTCTAAGCATTGTTGGGCTGTTATTTAGCTTTGGGGGGCTCTACAGCAAGATTGCCAGAAACCCCTTTCTGATACTGAAGTAGCTGGCTGCAGCAGCTTCTAGCGTAGCATATCTGGACAGGTTGTTCTGTCAGGAATGCCTCACAGGCAGCCAGAGAGAGAAGTTGGCAGAAAAGGGTGCAAAAATGCCAGGGTTAACATAACCCTATTTGCTGTGGGTTGACCAAGCCCTACCTTTCTTACTCTCTTCCACACTGACAGTCCTGGAGAGATGACAGAGAGAGCAACCCAGACATGAAGAAAGCAGGCAGTAAAAGGCCTCTTGGCTTACCACTTATTTCTGACTGTTTCCCCTGCTTTCTTTAACAAGGTGTGAGTCAGCCCTTTTGGAGCTATTTCTGCCTTTCTATAGGATTCAGTGAATCACCATGGCTGTGCCATGTGAAAGCTTCCCCTGCCCTTTCCTCAGGAAGGGGTTTAGAGAGCAGCTAAAAAGTTTAAGGAAACCACTTAGGGATCATCTTAAGAGTGATCTTTTCAAATGTTACCCTTACTTCTCTAGCACAGCAGCAGTACAGTTCTCCCTTCAGATCCCCTCTTTAGTGGTAGTCTCCTTCTGTCCTACAAATAAGGGGGAGAGGGAACCTTGTAAGATCAGAATATGCTCAGTGGTTGAGTCCTGAGAGGCTAATTAATCTTGTTCCCCCCCCCTATAAATCTGAGAAACAGTGAAGGAAAGGTTAAAGGCATCAGAAAAGAAGCTTTAGATTCTGAGCACAGGATTCAAAGTCCTCTGCAAAGGACATTTCGAAGGCTTGGTTTTCCCAGTAAAAGATGAGCAAGCCATTCAAGGACTCTCTGTTCCTCCATCTCCTCGTTTTCTAGTTTGCCACAATACAAATTTTCCCATGGTAAAGGCTCTAAAGGGACAAAAAAGGGATGGGGAAATTCAGAGGAAACTCAGTTGTCTTTCTGAGAGCATAGGCAGCTTTTTTTCAGACTTGGGGCTAGAGCCCACACAGGAGGAAATTCAGAATCAGTTTTTTGAGAAGTAACTTGAAACCATTCTTGGGAGTATTAGGTGGACTTTGTATTCCTCCAGATAAGCTCCTGTAAAAAAGGAAATGTAGGAAGAAATGGGAGAGAAGCCTGGCCTACATCTTAGAATTAAATGGCACTCCAAAACCAGGGTTATTGGCTTCTCCCTCTTCCTCCAATTGAAACCTCAGCATATAAAGACTAGAATGCCATCTGTTTCAAACTAGGATAATTGATTTCCCAGGGAACAAGAAGGCTTAGGGCTTTAGTCAGTCCTCTTTCCAGTGCCCAAACATGCCAAAGACTGAGGAGTGCTCAACTGGAAATTCTTGAACAGATTCCTGCTGTCACCACAGTTCAGGATAGATACCCTAAATTCCAACATAGCAACAATTTCTAAAGAAAAGCAGCTATCACTAAGTGATCTTAAGAACACCTATCTACACATATTACATGAGCCTCCCACAGAAAATCTCTCAACTTCACATGCAACACATAATGTTACCACTATGCTGCTTTGTAGTTTGTCCTGCCTGCCTCTAAGGATGTTTTCCAAAGTGTTTTCCTTGGGCAAAAAAGGGTTTGTGTATACCCATGCTAAGAGGACCTGCTCATTGGAGCACCCTTTCTGAAAAAGGCCCATAAAGGAGCCTTCACACAGTCCAGATTGTATTCCAGAGTAACTTGAATTTGTCAACACTACCAACAGCTAAATGATGTCATGCAGTCTGTCACTTCTGGACATAATAATAGATGTCAAATGATCACATCTGTCAGGTCTCTGATGTCTTGGATAAGAACGAAGGACTCTGGCACCAACATACCATTGTGAGAGATTCCAGTTGTCTTCTCCAGAAGTTCCTTAATCTCTCAGGACCCATCATCCCTGTCCTCCTTTGTGCTGTTGCCTGGGGGAACTCAGAAGGCCACAGTTCGTTGGAATCAGAGTAGTGCAAAAAATTTATGCCAGCTTCAAGAACAGGGAAGATCATTCATGGAACAACTTAATCCAAGGTTAATGAAAAAAGATTAGAGTGATTAGATAGATCCTAAGAGCTAAAACTCCAGTCCTGATCAGCCAAGATGTACCACTGATGTCATATAGTATCCGTAGCTACAATCATGCACTTTCTCTAAAGGCCAAGAGCATAGCTGTCCTTTTCTGTTCATAATGTTCTCCGGGACAATAAAAAAGGGGCACAAGTGAGCCAGGTGGTCCCATATTTTACAGGGAGGTCCTGGTTCTCATATTCTATCTGATGGCAAGCACGACTCAGTTATGTCTCCTCTACAAGAAGGATCTACTCTCAAGGAAAATATTTTGCACCCAAGTTCAGAAAAATTGTCTAACTACTTAATATGTGAGAAGTACTAATTAAAATGAGATATTCAGATGTTTACACTTTTTAACCTTGAGAAAGTATCCCACAAACAGGGTGTCTTAAAGGGCCTGGTGTATATGATCTTCAGTGCAGTCCACTTCCCTAACTAAATTCCCTTAATTTTTGCCTTCATTCTCCTCCTTTAGGGACAGGTGGAAGCCCACTGAAGATCACCTGACCCTCCATTTCCTTAAGTCAACGGGGGTATGCAGGGCTATGCAGAGGTCTTCCCGGGGGGTACATCAACTTATCTAGATATTTGCCTAGTTTTACAACAGGCTACATAAAAAGCACTAGCAAAGTCAGTACAAATTAAATTTCATGCAGACAATTACTTGTTTATATGGCTCTGTATAGTATACACTGAAATGTGCTTACAATATTTATATTCCCATTGATTTATTTTGTAAATGAATGGTAAATATGAGAAAGTAAGCAATTTTTCAGTAATAGTGTACTGTGACAATTCTTTGTATTTTTATGTCTGATTTTATAAGCAAGTAATTTTTAAGTGAGGTGAAACTTGCGGGTACACAAGTCAAATCAGACTCCTGAAAGGGGTACAGTAGTCTGGAAAGGTTGAGAGCCACTGCCTTAAGCATCTTCCCAGCCTTGCATAGTCTCCCTTGATACGTTCCAGTGAGAATCTAGCTAGCTGTCTGATTTGTTTCCCATACTAAGGACAATCAGTGGATTTTTTCCTGCTCCCTTTAGGATCCTTTTCAGCTTCAGGTCTACATCCCCTATCTTAGCTCCTGGCAGACAGCATACTCTTCTGTTCTCCGGATCAGCTCTGGTGACAAGGCTAGTCACCAATTACATAGATTAGGCACCGACTCCGTGAGTGCTCCAAAACAAAACCAGAATACTACAAACTACCACTCAAACTCCCCAGTTTACAGCTCTGTTTGTTGGCTCCTGTGCCACTGGCTGACTGTTTGGCTGCCTTTATAGGACCCCAATCAGGGAAGCCCCACCCCCTAATCAGGGTTCTGCTTCTCTCAAAGCACACTGCCCGCTACCAGCCTCTGCAAACTGAAGAGAAAAAAGAAAAAACACAAAACAGAAAAATCACACAACACACAAAAACTCACACACTGCCCTGAAGGAACAGCTTGCCTCATCCCTTCTCCTCCAACAGAACTCCCACTCAAATTCCCCTGTTTACAGCTCTTTTTGCTGGTTCCTTGTGCTGTTTTCTGTTTTCTTCACACAACATCTTTGTACGTTGGATATGAGCCTTCAGGCCAGGTTTCTGTGGCTCTGAATAAATAAGAGAACATTTGAGGGGAAAATAACTTCTATCTTTGAAAGTTTCTGAAATGTACCAGTTTAGTCATCTAATAACTGAAACTATAACAGCAGTATTTTAAAAATATTATATGGATTATAACCAACAGAGCTAGATATTTTCTGAACTGTATACTGCATTCAATATTGATTTTTAGAGCTCTCCAGGCATCAAGAGTATACAGTTGTGAATGGGAGGGGAAGTGTTCCAAAACTTTATGTAGGAGGAGATGTGTACATGAGACTCTAAGATTTGATTTAGACTGAAGAAATTTGCAAAGCTGTGACAGGATTCCCAGGGTACAACCTGGAACTGTGAGACCGCTGTCCCCCCTTAACTCTCCAACTGCGGCTGTCTCTCATAATGCTTTGCAGTGTCAAGCAGCAAACCCCTCCAGGTGCTGTTATCACTCAGCCACCAACATGCAGAGGCACACCCAGCTAAATAGCATGAATGATCTCCAAGTCACTCATGAGTTATACACAGGGAAACACCAGCAAATATCCCAAGCCCTCAGCCTTGCACCACAGAAATATAGCTTTTTACACTGCTCAAGACCTTCTCTTGAACAGTGCAAGCTCAGTAATTAGTTTGCCACTTTGTCAAAGGAGAGTGGACATGCACCAGCCTTTGTAATCTTGAGCAGATTCCCCAAGCACTTTAGACAATCTCACTGGTAAGGATAAAACATTAAAATAAGTTTGTTAACTTCAGAAAGATAGATTTTAAGTGGTTATAAGTGGAAGGCATAAAGATCAGAGATAGTTACCTTAAGAAAATAAAAAATAAATATGCATTCTAAATCCTAAACTTTTAGACGAAGCAAGAGTTGAATCAAACAGCTTTTCTCATTGGATGTTGCAGGTAGGTTACAGGTCTTAATGCACAGGCTGAATTTCCTTCTTAGCCTGGGACCAATCTCAGTTCAAAGTCTTTGTTTTCCCAGCATTCTTTTTGCCTTCAACATAGATAGGGGAGGAGAGAGGTGGTCTCATGATGCCCCTGTCCCTTATCTTATACTTTCAGTTAATGTCCCAGGGAGGATACTGGCCTAGACATGTCCTGGTGGGCCTTGTTGAGTCCCCATTGTTTGGACAACTGAGTCATAGAGTTGAGCAGTCCTCATTGTGTGGTGCTTGCACAACTGATTCATAGAGTTGAGCAATTCTCTTTGTATGGTGCTTGCACAACTATCTCTTATTGAATTGTAGATCTCTTGTTTACAATTCTCCTGCTGGTCAATGGTCATTTAACACCTGCGTGGGTCACCTTCTTTATTGTCATTGGAGAAATAGCACTGGGCAACTCCAAAACTCATCAACATATATCAATAACAACCCTATAGCAAAATCTCATAACTTCATGAACACTAACAGCATATATATATATATTGACAGAACAATGAGTTTCAGCAGATCATGATCTTTCATATCTTAGAATTTCAGGGTTGGAAGGGACCTCAGGAGATCATCTAGTCCAACCTCCTGCTCAAAGCAGGGCCAGTCCCCAGTTTTTGCTCCAGATCCCTAAATGGCCTCCTCAAGGATTGAACTCACAACCCCAGCTTTAGCAGGCCAATGCTCAAACCACTGAGCTATCCCTCCCCCCTTACATAGCATGCTTTGTATAAAGTATCACAACCATATACGAATGATGAATATGGGGGGTTACAGGGTGCTATTTTGAGGTACGGTATGTCACAGACCCCCTGGAATATCATTTTTTGCTTTGTCTTCAAACACTGTTAGTGACGTTTTGTGCACTCTAAAATCTGGCACTTTTAATAAATATGCCTAGAGAGGGGGTCATATTCCAGTTATGGCAGTGTATAATTTATGATTGGTTTATAAAGGCTGTTAACTGCTTTCAGTTTGCAAAGAAAGTTGCCTCTGTACTTGATACTAAATAGTTACTTAAAGTGCAAAAATAATTCATAGGTAATTGATTCAGCAGAATTTCCATTTTTTAGAAATGTAAAATTGTTCTCCAACTGTGCTTTTCCAAAATGTAGTGTTTTAGGGGTTAAGGTCAAACACTCTCTGGACTCATTTCACAAGAGTGAGTGTCAGTCTATGCACTTGCCAGCAAGGTACTGTAAATATACACTTACTTGAAACTCTATCAAGGTCTTCTGACCACCCTATTGAACAATAATATACAACACCTGACTTTTGAGCTGAGATGGAAGGAATAGGTAAGAGAATTAAAGGTACAATCCTGCAAGGTGCTGAATGCCCTCAACTCCCATTGTAATTCCATAACAGCATGACTGGGCCCTAGTGTCATGTGCTATCTAGTACAGTTTTCGAACTCTGTATGGAAAGAGCCTAAATTGTATGACTGTTTCAGGCACTGCTAGATAAGAAGAATAAAGTTAAGGAGCCAAAGAAGCCCCTTCGTTTCCTTCAGAAGATAACAAAACCTGTTCCTCGCCCCCTAACTCCAACACTGCTAAGACCGTCAATTGTAAGTTGGATGTTTTTAGAAGTTTTTGCTGTAAGCCCTGTATTAGTCACTATCAAGTTACTCAAGGAGTGTCCAGGAAAATATGGGAGCAAGTTAGTTTTGTCTTCTGTACAGTGTTTTTTACTTAAAAATAAAACTGACAAGCACTGTAGCGTTAGACTTTCATCTGATTACTGCACTATGAGAACCTTGATAGGTACAGGGAATCAGGCATCAGGCATTGCACTCATGCATGCGGCAGTCTCATCAAGCCTCCCCTGCTGCAATCTTCCATCATGGAGGGACTGAGTAGGGCTCCTTCTGCAATTACCCCTCCTGGATGCCAGAGCTTTCTGTGAACAAGATGATACTTCTGTCGCAACCATCATGGAGACATTGGCTGAGAGATGAACATCTCAAGAGGCTATATGTGGCAAGCTGGAGTGACAGGGACAGAAGGGAATGTAATGGAAGACTGACAGAATGGAAGAGACTAATCTAGGCATCCACAACTCTTCCCTTTCCTTCACAAAGGCCTGGCAAAGTCCTGAAAACTGTATTAAATGACCACCCTGACGTAGGGAGAGAGGTCATTCTCACCCAAGCCAAGAACTGACATGAGACTGTGACCCAGAGATATGGGCCCCAAGAAAGGACCTGAAGTACTTGAAACCTACCAGGGTCTCCCTGTGGGAGATGAGTGACACCTGGTAAGGCACTCAGGCATATAAACTGTTAGTTGTTTTCAGGATATGATTTCTCTGATACTTTTGTTCTAAGTCACAGATCTAGAAGAAGTAGATAGCAGGATATTGCCCCAAAAAAGATGACAGCTAGAGGCTTGAGACTTAAGTGGGTGTGCCCACAAGGCCATAAAAGGGTCAGAGGTGCACTTACCTCAGGAACTGTGACACTCTCACAAGCTCAGAGGCTGTCCTTTATCTCACTCCAATACCCGACAGTCCCCACTGTCTTCTCCAGGCTCCTCCAATCCCCATCCTGACTGTAGATCCCCCTTCCCCCTCCTGCTTCTGCAGGGTGCATGTGATAGGTTTCTGCATCCCCTCACGTGCTCTGCTGAGAAGAGAAAAGCAGTGACGTTTTCCTCACTGTCAAGAAAAATCATGGAATTGCACAAAACTTGCCAGCTGTACTGCTCCAAATTCAGGGAGTAGCTCTGCATCTACCATCCCACAAGAATGTAAATAAACCCTGTGGGGGTTTGTTTTTACTTCTCTGGCATTTTGTGTGTGTTTGTAATAATTGAGCCTATAAATTTACTCTAATTGTGAGCTCAACTGTAAAAAGTGAGCAAAAATGTATAAAGTGTTACAATTACCTATACCAGTAAATGTTGATGGGAGAAAAAGTATAAAGGTCAGACAGAATGAATCAGTCAAAACAAAAAGGCCTAGTGCTATAATTCACAGACTGTGCTAAGGCCATTCCAGGTAAACAAGAAAAGTATGGGACTGGAAATCAGTGAACCAAAATTGATGTGTGACAAATTAGGCCTAATTTGTGGACAAAATAATGAGGGGGTGGACTATTCCATCCATCAATCTCTTTTAGTGCCCTGAAAAAAAGACTGTGGGGAAAGCTGGCTACTGCGACTCTGGCTGACTGAAAGATGGCAGCCATTGTGGCTGCCATCCCCCACTGTCTCCTGGGACTCTGGATCTTCTTCATCCTAATCCTGACCACAGAGAGGGAGCCAAATGATATTGTCACCTCCACTGGCTCCGGCTCAATCCCAGCTACCACCTGGGATATAAGACTGTCACATACATCCCCTGCCCCTTTGTGTGTTCTTCCCCTTCTCCACCTTATTTCTTCTCTTTCCTATCCCTCTCCTTTTTCCTTCTCTCTAATAAGAGTCTGGTTTAGCCAGCCAAGACTGTATTTTGCAGCACTGCTGTAAGCCTGTGACCAGAGAGAAGCAGCTAAATGCAGTGCGCTAAACAGCCCAATTTTGGTACAAGTTTGCCAGGTTTCAGAGTGGCTGATAAGATCATGCACTGTGTCTATGTTTCTCTGGTGATGAGGTGCAAGTGAGACTTAACGTCAGAGATAGAAGCTGTATTGTCTATCTCTGCTGTTCTCTTCTCTCCCTGTTTTGTGTGTGTTCATCTTGTTTTGTCTTTTAGAAAACAGGATTGGACTTTAAAAACCCCAGCAACTCCAACAGCTCCAGTCTATCTCAACTAACTGTTTCTTCCCCCAACCCCCAAATAAGAACAGTTATTACCATACTGTACATACCATACATTACTGTCAAACGAGGGGGCTTCTTTCTAACAAGACTCTCCCCAGCTAAAGGGAGAGGGAATAAGGAGTGCTATTAAAATGAAACCCTTAATACTTTACATTTCAAATGTTGTTTTTCTCTCTTTTCCGTATCTTTAATCTAAAGTTAAAAAGGATTTTAAGGGTATTTGCCATGGTGCTAAACAGGCTGAGCTTTCTGTATACCAGACCCCGAGCCTTATTTAAAACTGTTTAATATTGGTTAGTTTCAGGCCCATGTTAACACCTTTGACTCTTTGGACTATATATTCCATCCTAATTAATACAACACGTGGCAGCTGTCTTAGTTCCCTCTGTGGTTCACAGTCTCCCTCTGCCACTAAGGCATTTTACGCCTCAGTTTCTCCTCTGGCTGGCTGGGTGATTTGCTAAGCTTTAGCTTTCCAGCCAAACTATAAAGTTCTTCCTTTCTGGAGTAACAAAACAGTCTGTTTGGGTTTTCCCTCATGATGCAAGGAAGGGAAGGGGCTTTTCGGAAGCTCCAGGCTGGGAGAGACCCTTAAGTGAGAGCAGTTGCATGCACCAGGCCCCAAGCCCACTCCACTTCGCTTATCCCAGGCCCTTTCTTCTGCATTCCCCACAAGTCTGATTCTTTTCCTCACAGTGCAGGGCTCACAAGCTGTTTTTTACTCCACTGAACAACCTCTCTGGGATTCCATCCCCCTCTTCTCTCCAGGCTTCCTTTGCCCCATCCCACACCACGCACTTTCACAGGCTTCTTCCCAGACCTTCTAGCTCCTGAGCTGTCCCAGCCTTGCCCCTTCCAGAGACTGCAGCAAGGAGAATCATGCCGTGATAGCTCTGAAGTCTGAGCAGAGTTTGCCTTACATAGTCCTGCCCCATTTTCCACTATCCTAGCCCCTATTCTGAGCTGAAATCAGGAACAAACTGTGGTAGGCCTGTAGCCTCCCTTAAAGGGACAGCACACCCTGTTACAAACCCCAAAATAATACAACTTGTTTACTTCCAAATTGTCATTCACTGGGTCTTCAAACTCACTATGCTACACTGATAAGCCTTACCAGGAGAATGAAACTCAGGGGAAATTTCCTAAAAGTTCCCCTTCCTTAGTGTTTAGAACTGTTAATACATGTAAATGATGATTCTGTTCCCATCTCAGTCACCACTTAGTCAAGCTACATATATATAGTTCTTTTAATCCAGATTGTAATTCTTGCCATCCCCCCAAATCATTTATGTTACTGTAGCCTGATTTAGGGTGTACTAATAATATTAATTTAATTCATATTTAATTTGTATTTAATTAAATTAATTAATAATATTAATAATTATTAATATTAATAGTATGGGTTTTAGGCTCGCCAATCTGTTTAAAATAAATCTATAAACTTATTACAATAAACCAAATACTTAAACTATAAGAAAATATATATATAGATATACAAGCAAGCAGGTTAATCCTATAGGCTACAGTTACTCTTCTCTGAATTCCCTCTCAGAATCCCCAGTGTAAATCTTTGTATAGTCTGTCTGTCCCATATTTTGTAAAATATAGAAATATATATTTTTCTGACTCATCTTCTATTCTCTGGAAATCAGAAGAGCAATGAAACTAGTTATATCAATTGTATTCTGAGAAAGCTAGTTAGATGGAGGGCTCATTCAGTTTTCCTTCTGCTTCCTCCCTAAAATAAATACATAATTGTAACTGGATTATTGTTGTGTGTTGGCAGAGAGAAGAGGAGCTAGAACTGGCAGTAATCTTTTTGCAGAAGTTAATCCGAGGCAGAGCTATTCAGAACATGGTATTCTGTGTCCCTTTGACTATTTCTGTTTTCAAAATGCTGAAAGTGGTTATTGAGGGTATATTAAAAATCTGTTCCCAATAGCACTGAACTAATCCAGGCCTGAGGTGTTTGAGCAACATGTCCTCATATCCTTATCCCATATCCTTCTAAGGCTGAAGTCCTTGCTCTCCAGTCCAAACTTCTGACAGGAACTTCTAGGTTCCTATTTGTTGAACTCTCTCCCTGAGAATGTTCGCTGATATCCTTTATGGCCGTATTCAGGACTTGGTGTTGGGCCTTTCTGTACAGGTTTGGTCACTTTTGATAATTTTGCCTATCTTGGGGGTTGGAGGTGGGGGGGGGGTCTGTTTTATAGACCTGCTGCTTCTCTGTGTACCATTGGGATTTTTTCCCAATGGTACACAGCTCTGTTTTACTGATGACTAATTTTTATGCAGCACCCAGGTGAGAGATGATATGTTCTGTATCAATAAGTAATGCAGTTTTGAAAATGGTTTGATATGAAAATTGGGTTTTCTGAGTCTTTCTCCCATCCGGAGTGGCCTGATAGGAACAATGTCTTTGACTCCATTGTAGGGATGTTGACTCTCACAAAAATTTTGAGAGCTTCCCCGCCAAGGCTTCCCATCATTTTTAGAGGCTTCTCACCAGCATCAGCTCAGAAATTTCTGTCTGACTTGGGTATGAAGCTTTTGGACATGTGGGCTGGTAGCTCGGACTGTGTTTCCTACCTATCACCCCAGAGTGCACCACTCCCTCTCTCAGAGCCTCCACTCCCCACCACTGCACACACACAGCAGGGCAGCAGTCATTAAACCAAGTAGGGGGAATGAAAGGGATTGGTTCTGGGGACACCACAGAGGGCAACAGCAGTATCAACATCCTCCCTACAACCTTACTTCTGCACTGAATGGTGCTAAATAATCTGAACAGTCCCTGGGGGAGGTGAGGAAGAGGCACCCTATCTGTTCGTCTGCCCTTCTATTGCTGGGCTCATGTATGAGGAAGGGCAGGGGGCAGTGGATACTGGAACAAGGGAGAAAAGAAAAGGACAGGGCCCAGGGGAGGAGATAGGGTGCATCATGGGGAGAGAGCTGAGGAGTGTCCAAGGGGGTGCATGGTGGAGCTGGCAGAGGAAGGATCAGGGAGAAAGCTATTCCTATTAGTCAAGGGGAAGAGAAGATTGGCTCACCCCAGATTTTTGATTGTATTTAGCGTATACTTGAGATTGAATTTTCTGCCTGAAACAAGCCCCACCTTCTCCCCCTCCCCACAGGGGAGGCAAGAGAGTAAGTCTTCGAGCTCAAAAATCAGTAGACTGACTAAAGAAATGATATTTGGCTTTTAAACATAAGAAATCTTTTGGGGGGGGGGGGGGGGAGAGCAGAGGGGAACATCTGATTTTTTAATTGATGGGGTTGGCAATTCTGCCAGCAATTTAAAGTCCAGTCCAGCAAGTGTTTAACTCTAACCCCTTCTGGGTATACAAAGATCTGCTAAGTTTATTTGTCATGCCCTCCAGTGACTAGAAGGCTGGGTAGGTCTTAATGCAACTGAAAGATAATGGAGGTTCTCCTTTGAGTAAGTAATAGAGACCTGTCTGTTCTCTGGAGCAGAAGGACCTGAGTTAGGTCCTTCATCCAGTACATGTGGGGTTTAGCTAACAACTATAGTGTGTGTCTGAATATGGCCTTGGATTCATTACAGTCAGTTCGGTTTCCTGTCAATAGCACCAGAGATTTTCCTCAAAGATCCACGTGCTACAGACAGAGAACTGGTATGGGAAACAGCTGACTCCAACTTTGGAGGAAAAGGATATTTTCTGTTTGCAAAACTCTCAGATTTTATCTTCTGTTTATTCCCATGGCTGTTCATTTTATGTGAAAGATGTTTGAAGGGAAGGAGAAGCGATTGGAACTGATTCGGGAACTGCGCACCACTCACGCACTTCAGGAGGATGGGAATCTGCTTAAGAAGGCAGAGAAACAAGTAACGCTGGCCTTACAGCGACAACGCGACTTGCATGAGCACAAGGTTTGGCTATTAAGATAAAGGGGATAACACCCCCCACCACTCATCCATTCCTCCATCCCTTTTTAAATGTCTGTTTTTTCTTGTAACGATACCAACGTATTTATAGAAAGTGAATGTGTTGTCCACGTTGCAGAATCCATCACAGGTGACAAAAACTGGCTTCCTTGCTGAGGGAAAGGACTGAATGGACATGGGCACTGAAGTGTTCTGTTATTGCTATAATGGGTTCCATCCTGAGAAGCTTGCATAGCTGCCGCCCATGCTGTACGTGCTTTGTGGGTAAACAGAGGACTTCAATTTCCAGGTCTCTCAGTTCATGAAAAATGTGCCTCATCATGAAAGCCTCAGTCCATCCAGATTATGATCCACATGGTTGATGTCAGTTGACTTCTCTGCAGTTAGTTAGGCCTTTCCTTCAGTTAGTATAGTGAGGCATGCATGTCACCCCCTCAGTAAGCCATTTTGCTGAACAGATTTTGTGTCATTATACTTAGGGTACATCTACATGTGGAGCTGGGGGTGTGATTCCCAGCTTGAGGAGGCATGCTTGTGCTAGTTCTGATTGAGCTAGCATGCTAAAAGTAGAATGTAGCCATGGCAGCATGAGTGGCAGGAGGAGTAGCTGCCCTGAGTGATTGCCCCTCAGAGAGGCTACCTATGTACTTGGGGAAGCTAGTCCCTCTTGCAGCTCATGCTGCCATGGGCACATTCTATTTTTAGTATGTTAGATTGATCAGAGCTAGCGCAGGTATGTCTCTTCAACTTGCGATTCACTTCCCCAGCTTCAAGTGTAGACGTACCCTTAGTTTTAAGCATCCCATCCCCTTGTAACTTCACACCCTCTCAGCTGCCTCTGCTGTGCAGAAATAGCCATGAAAGGTTTACCCACCAACTAATACTAGGTGAATGGCCTTATGGTGCCCCAGCAGTGGAGTCAATTTGCTAAAGCAGTCGCTGTCCCCCTTTTCCAGAGAGAAATAGGCCTGGACCTCTTCAGCTGGCCAGAATCTATTTGAGATTTGACATATTCAGTCTCGTTCTATTCACTTCCAACCTCTTAGCAGAGCAGTGACATTCTAGCATTTCAGTATTTCTAGATGCTGCTTCATGTGCAGAGGGCAGAAGTGTAGGACACTAGGCATAACACACACACAACACCACGGGGGTGTAGGTGAACAGTCCCTTTTATTGAACTAAGGAAAAATGAAATTTAAAAGCCTGGAGATTTGGAGACTTGAAGTGTCTCTTCCTCAAGCCCTGGGAAAGCAGAGCCAAGGCATAGAGGAGATACCAGCAGCGGGTCAATTCAGTGTCCAGAATGACATTTGGAGAGAAAGAGATCAAAGGGTGAAGATGAGATCAAACAGATCACTATATCTGGAAATCTCATTGTGGAATCTGAACTAACCCTGCTGGCATTTCCTCCACCCCTTGCTTTGCTTTCCCAGGACCTGAGGAAGAGAGACTACAATTCTCCCAATCTCAGGGCTTTTAACTTTTAATTAACACATGCAAAGGGTTCACCTACAACTTTGTAGTAAGTTTCATGTACTTTTCTTTAAGGGAAAATAGAACAAATTTACATGGGTAAAGATCTTTCTGAGATGTGCATTATGCAGTACAGTTAATGACAGCAGTACTGTTTTGTGAATGTCCTCCTTCCTAAATTATACCTTCTTAAAAGGAAAACTCCCCAACTGACCTAAAAGCCTGTTGAATATTTTTATATTTGTGTGCATATTTCAGAAACCTATTAGCAACTCTCATTTTTAGGAGGCTGTTTTGGCCATTTTATATGTCAGCGGATCATGGTTTAAAACTGACTTTGTCAGGTAGTACTTTCCAAGGCATTCTACATAGGGAGGATAAAACTACTTGTGATTCTGCAGCTAGGACTGTAATCAGTTTGGACAGAGGGGTATGATCACATATGTTTTGAGGGAGTGTTGACTTAAGGCAAAATTCTGATAGAACATTAATCTTGGAATGTCTTCAGCAGTATCTCTATCCTGCCCAGGAAATCCTTACATATAGCAAAAACCAAGTATTAAGGAGAAGTGGTTCATGGTAGTCCCATATCATCTGCTGGTATAGTGGGAAGATTAAATCCTCTTCCCTCCGTCATCCTCACAGCATCTGGGGCACGAGAGGAACACTTTCAGTTCCATCTCTGTGTTACAGTGACATTTTCACATTCTGTTGGATGCTGGTTTGGAAATGTGTAGTGTCTTGGAAACTGGTACATAACACAGGAAAGCCTGTTTATTACTGGCTGCTAGTCAGGATTGTTTTGTTTTGTTTACTTGAGTTTATAACAGGCACATTCCACTGCCTGTTGAGACATTGCAACAATGGCACAACATCTGAACCAGCTTCAGAAAATGCTTTTTGCCTAAACTTATTGCCATGTAGTCCATACTGGAGATAATGAGCTTACACAATATCATTACATTGCCAGAGCACAATCATCCTCACAAATCCCATAAAACAATGTGATTAGGGTTAGGGGGGTGGAAGGTGGTTAAGGAGACTTGGGCTCTATTCCCAGCTCTGTCACAGATTCCCTGGATCTGGTTTCCACTACCAGGAATCTTGTGGTGTTTGCTTCAGAGGTGAAGTGAGTGTAAATCACTACCATTTGGATCTGCAAGCATATTACACTTATCTTGCACAGGTATAAATGACAACACAATATATAAAACAGTAGAGAATCAGGCTCCCTGTATGACCTCAGCAAGTCACTGCACCTTTGTGCCTCAGTTTCCCCAATTGTAAAATGGGATAAGACCTACATCGCTTCAAGGGGCATTGTGAGGTTTTATTAATTAATGTTTATAAAGCGTTGTGAGGTCCTTGGATGAAAGTTGCAAGTGAGGCAAAGTATAGTAATTATATCTTGCTACACTCCAGTGTTCAGATGAGAGAGGAAAGGTCTTTGTCTGTCCCCACAGATGGTCCCAGCAAGAGACTAGTGTGATGGGTTCCCCATGAGGTGCCACTTGGAAGTGGGGTATCACTGAGCCTCACCTGAGCTCCCTTTCACACTGTGGGGCTGTGATAAGTTGCCACGCTCTCCAAGCTTTCTCTTTCACCAGGAGACACACAGACAGGGACACACCAAGCTGCAGCTTCATACACACACATGCTGAGATCAGCTCTGCTGGGAAGGCTCAGCTAAGGCACCTCCCACTTGCTAAGGCACGCACCCCCTCTCTGGAGTGTAAACCCAAAATTACACCATCTTGCACTGCACAGGGAACTGTACAGCATAAGCTCATAAAATTCACCCCCTCCCTCAATGTGGAGAGAGAGAGAGATGTAACAGCTTTCTGTCCCAAGTTATAATTTCCACACACACTGGTTGTAGACAAAACAAGTTTAATAACTACAAAAGATAGATTTTAAGTGATTATAAGATATAGCAAACATATCAAAGCAGAAAGAAAAGGAGTACTTGTGGCACCTTAGCGACCAACCAATTTTTATTTGAGCATAAGCTTTCGTGAGCTACAGCTCACTTCATTGGATGCATACTCAGGTTTCAGAGTGGTAGCCATGTTAGTCTGTATCAGCAAAAACAATGAGGAGTAGATTACCTTAGTATATGAACAAAACCGCAAACTGAGCTTAACACACTAGATAGGTACAATATACATTTGCAAATTCTCACCTTTTTCAATAAACAGGCTGGCAGATTCTTAAGGCACAAGTTGCCTTGGCTTTCCCAGGTTTTCATACACAGGCTAAAAATCTCTCTAGCCTGGGATCATCACTTCCCACAGTTCAGTCCTTGCCCCTCAAGTGTTTTCAGGTGTGTTGTTGTAGCAAGAGTGAGGTACCATCATGATGCTATTGTCCCCCTTTTATATCTTCTTCCCACTTGCTGGAAAGCTCTCTTGCTGTGACCTGGGTCAAACAGTGCTATCTCTGAGAGGTTTCTGTTGTACACAGTTCCTGGGGTAATCCTTGTGATGGTGTGCATTTCCTCAATGAGCCATTAACATTGTTTGGCCTTTTTACTGTTGCACCTGAAAGGCTGCTTGTGAGTGTTTTCAGCTTCACAACATGTTTCAGTAACACATACATAGCCAAACTTCATAATTTCACGTTCGATGATGGCACATACAATCCAATGAGATATTATTGTGTAACAGATCACGACTTTTAGAATGATACCTCACAAGGCATGCTTTGTACAAAACATATCCTAATTACATGATAGTGATGAATATTGGGGTTCCAGGGTGTCACAAATAGTACAAAACAAACATTTTGCATCCTCTGAAGTGTTAGACATTTATTTGCACTTGTGATTGTGCAGCCCTCTAAACAATTTATTCTGGCACACATCTGACCTATAAAGACATAGATTTGACTTTCTGAATCCCAGGTAGAAGCTGTATTTGCGACTACTGGCCCTGATTCTTCATTCTGGCTCAACTAAACTCAGCACAGAAATGAGGGGGAAGCACTGCTGAAGGTAGTTTTATGCAACTTTTGTATCTCCCACATTCTGGGTCTGAGAAAAGGAGCAATCCCCAGTCTAAGTGAGAGTAGCCTGAAAAGCTGTTGTGATTTACTCTCTGATGCAATGACAATCTATGCATTGTCTCAGCAGCCCAGAATAGCTGGCGTACGGTGCACTCTGGCCAACCCTCTAGGCCAAGGGCTGAAAAGGGGGTAGCATAGGACCGTTCCTGTGGTCCTTCAGCAACCGGGAATTCCCCAGAAGTATTCCCAACTGATTAGTTCTGCAGAGCCTGCATACAGAGGCCATGGCAGAGCCCAGAATCAAGTCCACTGTTTTTAAAAGAAAAATGCAGAACACATAAATTAGCCTTATGCCTTGTGTGTGAGTAGGGGTTTGTGCTCTTTCATGTGCCTGTGGTGGTTCTATGAGAAAGGGACTTGCATTCTTCACGGTATTTAATACAATTCTTGTTTGTTTTTGTGTTAAGCTTTCACTGGTTGAGAACCACTTGGCTCGGATAGAAGGAAGGGTATTAGTGAACATGTTCGATTTCCTGTCCAAAGAGCTGGTGAGGCTTCAGGAAGAAAGGAAGATCCATGCTTTTGCCATGCTGGCTGAGAGGCAACGGCGCATCCGGGAAGCAGAAGAGAGTGGACGCCGCCAGGTAGAAGAGAGGCGCCGGCGGGAAGAAGATGAGATCTTCAAACAGGTAAGTGGAGGAGACAGAATTCTTCTATTGACCTAGTTACTGCCTCTTGGGGAGCTGGATTACCTATACCAGGGGTGGGCAAACTACGGCCCATGGGCCGGATCTGCCCTGTCAGGGCTTTGGATCGGGCCTGCGGGATTGCCCCCCCTGTGGTGCTGCAGGCCCCGCGCCACTCTCAGAAGCGGCCAGCACCACATACCTGGAGCCCCGGGGGGCTGGGGGGGAGCACAGAGGGCCCCGTGCATTGCAATTGCCTCTAGTCACCGCCCCCTGCAGCTCCCATTGGCCAGGAACGGGGAACTACGGCCAATGGGAGCTTCGAGGGAGGTACCTGGAGGTGTGGCAAGGGCAGCACGCAGAGCCCTGTGCTCCCCCTCCCCCAGGGGCCGCGCAGGGACGAGGTGCCGGCCACTTCCTGGACAGGTGCGGCGTGGGGCCAGGGCAGGCATGCAGGGAGCCTGCCCTGATCCCAGTGCGCACCGCTGCCACCCCGGAGCCACTTTAGGTAAGCGGCGCCGGGCTGGAGCCCGAACCCCTCCTGCACCCTGCCCCCCAACTCCCTGCCCTGAGCCCCCTGCCTGCACCTCACACCCCTCCTGCACCCCAACCTGCTGCCCTGAGCTCCCTCCCGCAGTCCACACCCCTCCTGCACCTGAGCCCCCTCATACACCCCGCACCCCTCCTCTGCCCCAATCCCTTGCCTGTTCCTGCATACCGCACCTCCCCCCATGCCCCGCACTCCCTCCCGCACCCCCAACACCCTGCCCTGCATACAATTTCCCCACCCAGATGTGGCTCTCAGCCCAAAAAGTTTGCCCACCCCTGACCTATACCAGTGGGAGAAGGCCTCCTGTCATCATAGGTAGTGTCTGCACTGTAACATTTTACATGTAGGCAAGTCCTCAGTCTTTTGACTGTGTCGTGAATTAGTCTAGGTCTCTAGACCCCTGAAACACATAGCTCCTCTATCCTCCTCCCAGCTGTGGCTCTTCCTGGATCATCTGCAAGGCTAATGCTCTGTCATAAGTAATCCTGCAGGGTCAAAGCATTGGGTCTGTTTGCTGTCAGGATGTTTTAAACTAGAGGTTCTCCTTTGAGTGCTCATGCACATGTCCATTCCACTGTAGGTGTGTGTGCCTTCAGTACACTCAGGTCAGAGAGTTTTGGTTGCAGTACTGGTGGGGTGGAGGTGTGCCCTGCATATCCTTGCGCTGGGGCCCAAGGGTGTAAAAGGCAGAGCTGCTCCACCTCCCTCTCAGATCCTTCTTATCATCCATGGCAAAAGTTGGAGCTCCCCATTTCTTCTTAGAAACTTATTTTATCTTCACAAAGTGTTTTTCGCTAGCTTTTTGTAAATAGTCATAGTTGTTAGTAGTAGTACCATCCCCTTAAGGGAATTTTTTCTTTTATTGCTCTTTTGTCTGTATTAATTACGCAGAAATGTCCTGGATTCCGTGTAGCACTTGTAAAGTGACTGTGCCTGCTAATGATGTGACAGACATTCTAGCTGTTTGTTTTGTTTGGGAGAGGGGCATTCCAATACAAGTGCTCTATCTGCTTATCCTTCCCCTCCCATAAAAGAAACAGAGTGTGTTGCCTGAGGGAGCACCATCTTAAGTAGGTGATGAGATCTTCCTCAGCATCTGAGGACTCAGCTGCTTAGAAATCTGAGATACCTTCAACCACAATTGCTCTTCCTCTTCAGCCTAAAACCTCTCACAAAAGCTTTGGTGAGGAGAAATGTTTATCTCCTTCCCCAGATCGGTTGGGTTACAGGGGTTTTTCAGAAGACAAGAAATCCTCCCTTCATCACCTGAAAAAGATTTGGGAATCATGGTGAATAATCAGCTGAACATGAGCTCCCAGTGCAATGCTGAGGCCAAAAAAGCTAATGCAATCCTTGGATGCATAAACAGGGAAATCTTGAATAGGAGGAGAGAGGTTATTTTACCTGTATGTTTGGCAGTGCTGCAACTGCTGCTGGAATACTGTGTCAAATTCAGGAACGATGTTGATAAATTGGAGAGAGTTCAGAGAAGAGCCATGAGAATGACTACAGGATTAGAGAACATGCCTTATAGCAGGGGTTATCAAACTGGGGGTTGGGACTCCTCAAGGAGTCACGAGGTTATTACATGGGGAGTCGCAAGCCGCCGGCCTCCATCCCAAACCTTGCTTTACCTCCAGCATTTATAATGGTGTTAAATATATAAAAATTGTTTTTAATTTATAAGGGGGGTCATACTCAGAGGCTTGCTGTGTGAAAGGGGTCACCAGTACAAAAATTTGAGAACCACTGCCTTATAGTATAGACTATTTAGCTTAACAAAGACAAGGCTAAGGGGTGACTTGATTACAGTCTGTAATTACCTACCTGGGGAACAAATATTTAGTAATGGGCTCTTCAGTCTAACTGAGAAAGGTATAACAATCCGATGGCTGGAAGATGAAGCTAGACAAATTCAGACACAAAGTAATGTGTAATTTTTAAACTGTGAGAGTAATTAACCATTGGAACAATTTACCAAGGGTCATGGTGGATCCTCAATCACTGGGAACTTAAATCAAGATTGAATGTTTTTTCTAAAAAATCTGCTCTAGCAGTTATTTTGGGGAAGTTCTATGTCCTATAATATACAGGAAATCAGACTAGATGATCTCAGTGGTCCCTTCTAGCCTGGGAATCTCTGAATCTTCCACCCTGAAGCACAAGCATAAGTTCTCCAGTACGAAGTCAACAAGCTGCAAGGGGCAATCCCCAGTACCATATGAGACAGTGCTGTTGACTCTGGTACTGATAGTCTCAGTACCATTGAGATTGCACCTTCTGCATTGTCTCCTGAGGCATCAGCTGAAATGTTGCCTCCTCTCTCGGTGCCTGACATGTTGCTGGCCTTTACGACTGCGAAGGACCATTATACCTCCCGGTACTGGACTCATCACTGTTGGAGCAACTGGGACCATCTGTTCAGTCCCAGCCTATACATTCAGTACCCACTTTCAGAGACGCTACTGGTACTGCCATCTTCATTGATTCCTACCTCAGTAATGAGAGTGCCATATGAATCTACAGTTATTCATCAGCAACTGCTTTGGTACCATCTGTGGTATTGGCTTCCGCACAGGACATAAGCCTGTCTGTGACCTCAGTACCATCATCACTATAGCTGTCTTCTTCAACTTCAGTACTACCTACCTCTACGACTTCATTATTTTCCACTGAATGCATCCGACGAAGTGAGCTGTAGCTCACGAAAGCTTATGCTCATATAAATGTGTTAGTCTCTAAGGTGCCACAAGTCCTCCTGTTCTTTTTGCGGATACAGACTAACACGGCTGCTACTCTGAAACCCGTCATTATTACCACTAGTACTGATACCAACAATGGCGTCTCTTTCAATGTTGACTGGATTTCATTGTCCACATTTGTACCATGGTACCCTTTCCTTAAGAAGATCTCTAATCTGTACTGGACTGGCTTCACTTTTCCCAAAAGACGATTCTTATATCTCTTCTTTGGATTTAGATGATGGATACCAAATTTGAAGGCATTTTGAGTAACAATGTGAATTTTAGCGCACTTAGAGTCAAGCTGTAAATAGAGAGTTGATGTAGACCTTAACTATAGTAGACTTGGTGGTCCATTACAATGCTGAAAGGGGGACTTTTTAGTAAGGGTACGGGGAGAATGGAGGAAAGGGACTCTGCAAGTCCATCTGCAGCACAGGAGAATCCAAGGTGTGTGAAGTGGCCCATTCATCTCAATGAGGTGTTCTCAGCTGAATGTGAACTGCCCATGCAAATGAATAGAACCTGAAACAATAGCTCTGAGATGAATGACCTGCTCCATGCATCAAACATGCCCATGCTCAACTCTTCTCCTCTGTGGCAGGAGTGTATTCTTGGTGCATGCCACCTGTATGCCTGTTCCAGCTTCATACTCTGGGGCACATATTCCACATATCCTTGTTCATATGGTGGTGGTCAGGGAGAGGGCCTCAGGCCAGATAAGTCCACCAGAATCCAGCTCACATGAGGGTGGCATGAATGGGGGTGGATGTCAGATTCCCCTAGAGGAGTTGGGTCCCCCAGATACTGGTGCACACACACAGGTAGGGAGAGAGGCTTAGACTCTCTCCCCTAAGAGAGACATCCCCCCAGGATCGTGGCACACGCACTGGAGGAGAACATGGGGTTCAGAGGCTCCTGTTCTCCCCTAATCTCCCTGTCACTCGCCTCATGTCACCCTTCCCAGTGAGCTCGAAATGATGAAAGCCAACACAGTATGATAAACCATCTCTGTGCAGACCACTACCAAGTGCTGGGCAGATCATGGTCTGGGAACATCTGAACTAAATGCATTATAAGAAATCCAGTGTGTTCATCCTGCTTCTGTTCCACGTTGTTTTGATAAAGTATTTTGCTTTCAGAATTCAAGTGACTACAAGAAGATTAATTTATTGAAGCCATGGTAGTTCTAATCACATCTAAACTGCCCTGATGCTGTAAGGTGTTATTTGCCAGCTGTTCAGAGGACTATGTGAAATGAGTTGGTGGTGTTTGGTATTCAGTTAATGGAGCTAGCACATTGTACAGGAAATAGGAAACGTAGAAGATCAGAGTTTTGCCTTTGGCACAGGTCATTTTCTGTACTTGTTTCTGTACAACTAGTTTCCCAGGAAAAGGCCATTAGGAAAGGAATCCTCATGTGACGGGATCCCTGGGGTGCAGCCTAGGACTGTGGGACTGCTGTGCCCCCTTAACTCTCCAGCCTGGATTGTCTCTCACAGTGCTTTGCCAATGACAAGCAGCAAACCCTTCCATGCATTGTTATCACTCAGCACACAACTGCATGGGGAGCCCCACACCCTGCTAGATTGCATGAATGCTCCCAGAGCCACTCATGGATCACACAGAGAAAGGCAACAGTCAAATCCCACCCAGCTCCCAGCCATGTACCTCAGGAATATACCATCTTGCACTGCTCAAGATCCTTTCTTGAGCAATGCAAGTTTATTAATTGGTTCACCACTTCATCAATGGAAAGTGGATATACACTAGCCTTTGTAAACCTGAGCCAATTTACCAAGCACTTCAAGGAAACTCACTGGTAAAGATAAACAAACAAGTTTATTGATTACAGAAGATAGAATCATAGAATATCAGGGTTGGAAGGGACCTCAGGAGGTCATCTAGTCCAACCCCCTGCTCAAAGCAGGACCAATCCCCAACTAAATCATCCCAGCCAGGGCTTTGTCAAGCCTGACCTTAAAAACTTCTAAGGAAGGAGATTATAGATAGATATAAGTGATAGACTAAACATCAGAGATAGTTACCAAAGACAATAAAATATAAAAGTATATATAAATATATAAATATTATATATATATATTATATATATATTTATATATATAATATATATAATATTTATATATATTATATATATATAAATATTATATAAATATATATTATATATATATATATAAATATATATATATAAATAAAAAGTTCGCCAGGCCTCAAACGCAAAAACCGGTGTTCGGATTTAAGTTTAGAAGTGTGTGCAACAAGAGTGAGTAGTGGTGGAGTCGCTATAGACCACCGGACCAGGGGGATGAGGTAGATGAGGTTTCTTCCGGCAGCTCACGGAAGCTACTGGATCGCATGCCCTGATTCTCATGGGTGCTTTAATTTTCCTGATATCTGCTGGGAGAGCAATACAGGGTGCATAGACAATCAGGAAGTTTTGGAAAGCGTAGGGGACATTTCCTGCGCAAGTGCAGAGGAGCCAACTAGGGGGCTTTCTTGACCTGCTGCTCACAAACCGGGTAGAATTAGTGGGGGAAGCAAAAGTGGATGGGAATCGGGAGGCAGTGACCATGAGTTGGTTGAGTTCAGATCCGACACAGGGAAGAAAGGTAAGCAGCACGATACGGACCCTGGACTTCAGGAAAGCAGACTTCGACTCCCTCAGGGAACGGATGGGTAGGATCCCCTGGGGGACTAACTTGAAGGGGAAAGGAGTCCAGGAGAGCTGGCTGTATTTCAAGGAATCCCTGTTGAGGTTACAGGGACAAACCATCCCAATGAGTCGAAAGAATAGTAAATATGGCAGGCGACCAGCTTGGCTTAATGGTGAAATCTTAGCGGATCTTAAACATAAAAAAGAAGCTTACAAGAAGTGGAAGGTTGGACATATGACCAGGGAAGAGTATAAAAATATTGCTCAGGCATGTAGGAATGTTATCAGGAGGGCCAAATCGCACCTGGAGCTGCAGCTAGCCAGAGATGTCAAGAGTAACAAGAAGGGTTTCTTCAGGTATGTTGGCAACAAGAAGAAAGCCAAGGAATGTGTGGGCCCCTTACTGAATGCGGGAGGCAAACTAGTGACAGAGGATGTGGAAAAAGCTAATGTACTCAATGCTTTTTTTGCCTCTGTTTTCACTAACAAGGTCAGCTCCCAGACTGCTAGCTGGGCATCCAAAATGGGGAAGAGATGGACAGCCCTCTGTGGAGATAGAGGTGGTTAGGGACTATTTAGAAAAGCTGGACGTGCACAAGTCCAGGGGCCAGACGAGTTGCATCCGAGTGCTGAAGGAACTGGCGGCTGTGATTGCAGAGCCATTGGCCATTATCTTTGAAAACTCGTGCGAACCGGGAAGTCCGGATGACTGGAAAAAGGCTAATGTAGTGCCAATCTTTAAAAAAGGGAAGAAGGAGGATCCTGGGAACTACAGGCCAGTCAGCCTCACTTCAGTCCCTGGAAAAATCATGGAGCAGGTCCTCAAAGAATCAATCCTGAAGCACTTGCATGAGAGGAAAGTGATCAAGAACAGCCAGCATGGATTCACCAAGGGAAGGTCATGCCTGACTAATCTAATCGCCTTCTATGATGAGATTACTGGTTCTGTGGATGAAGGGAAAGCAGTGGATGTATTGTTTCTTGACTTTAGCAAAGCTTTTGACACGGTCTCCCACAGTATTCTTGTCAGCAAGTTAAGGAAGTATGGGCTGGATGAATGCACTACAAGGTGGGTAGAAAGCTGGCTAGATTGTCGGGCTCAACGGGTAGTGATCAATGGCTCCATGTCTAGTTGGCAGCCGGTATCAAGTGGAGTGCCCCAAGGGTCGGTCCTGGGGCCAGTTTTGTTCAATATCTTCATAAATGATCTGGAGGATGGTGTGGATTGCACTCTCAGCAAATTTGCGGATGATACTAAACTGGGAGGAGTGGTAGATACGCTGGAGGGGAGGGATAGGATACAGAAGGACCTAGACAAATTGGAGGATTGGGCCAAAGAAATCTGATGAGGTTCAATAAGGATAAGTGCAGGGTCCTGCACTTAGGACGGAAGAACCCAATGCACAACTACAGACTAGGGACCAATGGCTAGGAGCAGTTCTGCGGAAAAGGCCTAGGGGTGACAGTGGACGAGAAGCTGGATATGAGTCAGCAGTGTGCCCTTGTTGCCAAGAAGGCCAATGGCATTTTGGGATGTATAAGTAGGGGCATAGCAGCAGATCGAGGGACGTGATCGTTCCCCTCTATTCGACATTGGTGAGGCCTCATCTGGAGTACTGTGTCCAGTTTTGGGCCCCACACTTCAAGAAGGATGTGGATAAATTGGAGAGAGTCCAGCGAAGGGCAACAAAAATGATTAGGGGTCTGGAACACATGACTTATGAGGAGAGGCTGAGGGAGCTGGGATTGTTTAGCCTGCAGAAGAGAAGAATGAGGGGGGATTTGATAGCTGCTTTCAACTACCTGAAAGGGGGTTCCAAAGAGGATGGCTCTAGACTGTTCTCAATGGTATCAGATGACAGAACGAGGAGTAATGGTCTCAAGCTGCAGTGGGGGAGGTTTAGATTGGATATTAGGAAAAACTTTTTCACTAAGAGGGTGGTGAAACACTGGAATGCGTTACCTAGGGAGGTGGTAGAATCTCCTTCCTTAGAGGTTTTTAAGGTCAGGCTTGACAAAGCCCTGGCTGGGATGATTTAACTGGGAATTGGTCCTGCTTCGAGCAGGGGGTTGGACTAGATGACCTTCTGGGGTCCCTTCCAACCCTTATATTCTATGATTCTATGATTCTATAAACAGGCAGTCTAAACTTTCAACCCTAGTAGACTGGGCAACATCTAGATTAAGCAGTTTTTCTCACCGCACTGGATATTGCAGTTCATAGTACATGGGTTTCACCCTTGAAACCTGGGCCTGTCTCCTCTGTTGGAGTCTTCAGTCTCCTGAGTGACCTTGTTGCTTGCAGCATAGGTGTGCGGAGGAGAAAGGCCAAGCAAGGGTCTGTGTTCTGTTTTATACCCTTCGTCCAGGTGCTTGGACAACACAAGTCCAGGTATGTCTGGTAGGCATTACTGAGTCACCACCAGGCAAGGTTGAGCAATTCTCCTGGTGTGGCGTTGGGCAAGTGAGTCATTGCATTGTTATGTAGCTCCCTTGCTAGACAATGGCTGTTGATGGTTGTTCAATGCCTGCCTAGGCATTGGTTATCTCCCTGGTTACTGTCTTTGGGGATCTAGTATCTGGGCACTTTCCAAACCCACAGCATATTTTAGTGAAAACCATACAACACAATTCTCATAACTTCATATGCATTAGATAGATAGATAGATAGATAGATAGATAGATAGATAGAAAGAACAATGGGTTCCAGTAGATCATAATTTTTTCTGTGATCTCTTACAAGGCATGCTTTGTATGTAATATCACAATTATATACAAATGATGAATATGGGGGTTACAGGGTGCTCCCCTGGGGTGTAGAGAGTCACACCTCACACTATGGATTCGTCTCCACTGCAGCTGGAAGTGTGCTCAAGCTAGTGTGCTAAAAATGGCAGCTTCACAATTTGGCAGTGTATCTTCGGCAAGTTGCCTGAGTTACATATCCTGGGAGACTGGGCAGGTTTGTACTCAGGCGGCTATCCTGAGCCACTACCTGTGCTACCCCGGCTACGCTGCTATTTTTAGCATGCTAGCTTGAGCAGAACTAGTGTGTGTCTGTCTGTCTGAGCTGGAAAGCACGCTTCCAGGTGCAGTGTAGACATGTATGCTAAGACAACTTCTCATAGACTGAACATGCCTTCTAAATCAATCGCCCTCAGATAGTCCAGATTAAGTGGCGAGTCTCAGCTGATACACCATGGTCTTTGCCTCTCCCCACAGACAGTCCCAGCAAGTGGGTACTACACAGCAATGAACATTTTGTATCTTGAGTAAGAGAGACATCTTGATGCTTGTTTCAGGTGATTAAAGTACACCAGAGTACTGTTGATTCTTACCTGGAAGATGTTATCCTGAACAGCATGGAGAGCACAGCTGAAGAACAAGCCAGGGAAGAGATTCAGAAGGTGGCTGTGGAAATCAATGACATTGCTTATGAAATGGAAAGCCGGTATGTCCTGGAGTGGACAAAGCACAGTTAGACACTGCTTTGCACAATTCAGACCCTGGCTGGCTAGCTAAGTTTATAGTCTAGGTCTGGCACCGTGGGTGGGGTAATACTATTCATAACGCTGCATAGACATGCTGCAGTTTTCATCCACTAGGGAGGCTCAGCCAAGTATGTAACAACAACTCCTAAAAATGTGCAGATATGGTGGTTCCCAGTCAAGCTCAGATGTGGCGAGGTAGGACCTATTCCCGGCAACTGTGCTGATGTGCCCTGACCACAAGATGAGAGTTTCCCAATGTCCCCCCACAAAGCCTTTACACTAGGATTTTCAAAGGCATGCAAGGGAGTTAGACACCCACACCTTGTGGAAATTCCATGGAAGCTGTCCACCTAACTTCCTTGTATTCCTTTGAAAACCCTAGCCATAGAAAACAGCTAATATGCAGGTGTCCTTTAATCTGGAAACTGGCCTGTCCTCTAAGGCTTAAAAGTGTTTAGAGCAGATGGGCTTTAAAGGAAATACAACAGATACAGGAGCCTCCTAGAAATAAACCCACCTTTCATTCAGAAGTCAAAACAAGGTTTTTTAAAAGAAACTGCTAATCTTAATGAGGTTGGCCATATTGGCTGCTCCTTATGTAGGTCTGAGCTGAGTTTATCATGTTGCGGAAAACCTCAGTATGGTGTTCAGCTTTGCCTCAGAAGTGACTGTCTTTTAGGAGCTGCCATGCCTCCAGTTCAGTCTCTCCAACCCCTTTTGGTGTTTAGCCTTAAAAATACAGTGACACAGAACCCATCCCCATGGCAAAGCAGCTGTGCATTGTATAGCCACATAGTTTTCCCTGGGTCTTTAACATTCTGCTAGTGCGGATAATGTATTCAGCCCCTGGACTGGTTGGTAGCCCCCCAAGGAGGAACTCTGACCTGAGATGTGGCATGGAAGATGGCACTGGGACTAGCCAAAAATGAAGTTACAAAAAGGAAGAAATTGGCCAATTCAGCAAGGACCCAAAGGCTAAACTGACAGACTTTGCGATCCTTTCACTGTAGAGAGACTCTCTCCAGTGCAGAAGTAACACACATCAACAGGTCAGTATAGGGGTATATAGCCAGGGCTGTTGTGACATTTCTGGGTTCAACCCGGACCAATAAGGGTTGTGTCACCACCTGCCCTGCAATTCTGGGTGCCTTAAATGTTATGGTGCACAGCCCAGATGCCAACAGCCAGCGTATAAGCATGCAGGTCACACCCTTGCAACCCCCAATTTTCCCTAAAACTGTCTCCCTGCTGTATCCATTCCAGCCCTCTCCTCGAAAACTAACAGAAGTTAAGTTGGCTACTGCTTTAAAGAGATAACAACAGCAGATGTTATCTTGACTGAATTAACCACTTCAATTCAATCGAAGCACTGGGTTTGTATAGATCAGCAGTTCTCAAACTGTGGGTCAGGACCCCAGAGTGGGTTGCGACCCCATTTTAATGGAGTTACAAGGGCTGGCTTAGACTTGCTGGGGACCAGGGCCCGCCCAAGCCCAAGCCTCAGAGCTTTAGCCCTGGGCAGCGGGGCTCAGGTCACAGGCCACCTGCCTAGGGCTGAAGCCCTTGGTCTTCAGCTTTGGCATCCACCAGGGTGGCAGAGCTCAAGCGGGTTCAGACTTCAGTCCCCACTCCTGGGGTTGTATAGTAATTTTTATTGTCAGAAGGGGGTTGAGATTCACTGAAGTTTGAGAACCCCAGTGCAGATAAAAAGTAAAACAAGTTTATTCAGTCAAAAAAGAGAGGTTATAAGTGAGTGCAAGTATAAAGGATAAAGATAGAAGCATTACAAACAAACAGGGGCAGCGAGTTATATGGGACCGTGGTGCCGAGGCTCCAGCAAATTCAGGACCCGGGGCCCTGCTCCACCAATGTTCAGTGCTCGGTCTCTCCCCCAGCCCCGCCTGCCGCCCCCACGCACCTTCCCCAGAACGTCCCTGCCTGCGCCCTGGGCAGCGGGCGGGTGCCCTGCTGCTCTGTGCTGCACTCCCTTGCCAGCCACTGCCAGCTACAAAAGGGAGCGGCACCAGCGGCAGGCTGAGGTGGTGGCACAGCTGCGCCTGCGGAGGGAGGAGAGACAGCCCTCCCCCCTCCGGGACCCACCACAGGGGAGGCGAGGGGGCTTCCTGCACCTGAGAGGGACCTAGCCCCTAGGAGCACATGCAGTGACAGTGCCAGGTGAGTGTGCTGCTGGGGGGCAGAGGGGGACCCCTCCCCTGGAGCTCGCTGCTGCCAGCGGGGAGAGGGCTGGGGGGACTGTGAAGTCCTCCTCTCTGGCCCCAGCTCCAGGGCAGACTGCCTGCATCCCAAGCTCCTCAGCACCAGAGCCCTCCCCCCTGCACCCCAAACCTCTGCCCTAGCCCTGAGCCCCCTCCCACACCCCAAATCCCTCATCCCCAGCCCCACCCCAGAGCCCTCACTCCCAGCCAGAGCCCTCATCCCCCCACGCCCCAACCCTCTGCCCCAGGCCTGAGCCCCCTCCTGCACCGTGAACCCCTCATCCCCAGTCCCACCCGCAGCCCTCACCCAGGCACCCCAACCCTCTGCCCTAGCCCTGAATCCCTTCCACACCCCAAACCCCTCATTCCCCCACACCGTCCCACATTATGCAATATAGGGAAACTGTTAAACGTTTACTGTTTCCAGTCCATTTTTACATTATTTTAAAAAATATATATTGGCTTACAAGGCAGGTGTGGGGGGGCAGGACTTGGACCTGTTCTGGGCACCACCAAAAATTATACAAACCTGCCGCCCCTGCAAACAAACAAGTAAAAATATGCTTTCTGATGGCTAAGTCCTAACATAACAAGCTACTGTCTTTGTTTAAGGTAGTTTCTTCCCCAGTATTCCTTTTCTAACAGCGGCTGACTAGCTCTGAGTCAGGATACCCACAGAGTCCAAGGTGCTGGTTTTCCTTGTCTCCTCAGGGGAAGGATAACTTTAGGGGTTCTTTGCCCCTCTCCAGTAAACCTTTGAAAAGTATATATCTCAAAGTTCATTGACCATGCTTTAAGAGGCAGGAAGGTATCCTGGGAGTGCAGTCTCCATCCCTTGTTGACATTGTTAAGTGAATACTTTTTCCCCACCTGATCTTCTAATGGCTTTGTTTACCGGGTATGCAAATGTGCTTTTCTTTGCCTTTGGTCACACTTTGCACAATTTGAAGGGGAAACACATTCAAGCAGGCAGAACCGCATTCCTTTGGAAAAAAATGTTTTTTAACTCCCCTGACATGCCTGATTTAAGCACATTTTAGTCATAATTCCAGCACATCTGTGTAATTCTTTGAGGGTTGACCATAGCTATATCATGCAAGAATATTAATGATCAGCGAGTTATTAGTTTTCTGGTGACATGTTACATGACATCTTTTAGATACAGATTATAACAATAATGAGTTGGGGTACACTGAGCTGGTCAGGTCAGCTGAAATTCAGTGCTAGATACCAGGAAGTCCCTTGCCTTCTGGCATGGGGATGCTCTTAGGATCATGGCTGTGTACTGATTTTTGTGGGTAAACGGAGGCCTTCACTTTCCCTGGCTGACAATTGCTTTCACCAGCACTAAACTCACTTCAAAATAGTTAAACAATTTTTTAAAATGTTAAGCAGAGTGTGGTAGTGGTGTGGTGGGAAGTAAAGTAATAAGTGTTAATTTCACTCTCCGTGTTTGTTCTATAGCCGAACTCGTCTGCAATCAGAAGAGATTGTAGCAGAGCTGGTTTATGGTTTCCTGATACCAGAATTACAGAAAATCTCTGTCAAGGAGAAAGGTAAGGAGACCAATAGCTTTGTTCTCTTCTTAAACTATGATTTATTGGCTGAAAGGTCCATCTGCCAGGAGTTTCTGTAGAGTCTGAGGATATGTCTACACACCAAAAAAAGACCCATGACAGCTAGTGTAAGAGCCCAGGTCAACTGACTTGGACTTGTGGGGCTCACACTGCAGGGCTAAAAATGGCAATGTAGTTGTGCAGGCTCAGGCTGGAGTCTGGGCTCTGAAACCTGGAAAGTGGGGGAAGCCCAGGTTCCAGGCTGAGCTTGAAAAATTACACTGCTATTTATGTACTCTAATCTTTTTAGGCACAGTGGCTCAAATTCAACCCTAGTGTAAGCTGGTATAACTCTACTGAAATCAGTGGAGCTGCACCTACTTACGCTAGAGCCGAAATAGTCCATTGTTCCTTGAATATACTGAAAAAAGTGTTTGAATAGCACCGAATTAGTCTGAATTATTGAGTATGTAACAATTTCCCACTGACTGCAAAAGTCCCTAATCTGTAGTTAATTTATGCAAATAGAAAATGTACAAAGAAGCTTATATTGTGTTTCTTTCTCTTTGTCTTTGTTCCTTTCTAATTTGCCCAGAACTAGGAACAGATATAATGTCTTATGATTGATTTTGTGACATCATGTTTGCAGTGGAAAATCTTATGCTATTGTAGAGGGGGCATTGTTTTAATCAAGTCTGAATATTATGGCTCCATAGTTCAGAGAATGGAAGGACATTAGAAATCCATGTGTCATGATGATGATCAGGATGGAATGACGGTTCTTGATCAGGAGACTTCTCTTGCCCGGCCCATTCAGAAGATTGCAGACACGCTCCCCATAAAGTGTGTATGGACTTTGAAAAGCACATGTAAAAAATAGCATAATAGGGGTTCTATGTTTTATTGTCTCTCTCTGATTCCAGAGCAAATGTGCTCACAGTTTACCGATTAAAAATATAAATATTTGCTAACTACAAGCCCTGCAAACACATTCTGGGATTTAAGAATCATGCTATCTTCTTTCTGGCTTGTGTATCACCAACAATAACAATTAAGGACCTAGCAAACAATCTGTTGATGGTGCACGAGCTAGAATAGCTCCCTCTCTTAACTGCACAGGTTCTGTAGAGCTAACAGAGTAGTCAGTACAAACCAGTTATGGTCACTGAAGTCTGCAGCTACATCCAGGGATCAGATATGGCCACTTTTACATAGCCACTTTTCAGAGTAGATCTGTGCATTAGAGAATTACAATTAGCAAAATTTATGGCAATGAGTTATTTTTTAGACTTAAATGTAAAAAAGCCACCTTTTCATTGATATATTTTAGCAATGTACATTTAATTTAGAACACAAGAGATAACCACTCAAGAAAAAGATATGAATGTCATTGTAAATAACTCAATGAAAACCTGTGCTCCATATTCAGCAGAGGCGAAAAAGAAACAAAATAGTAGGATGCATATTGTTGCCCCTTTTCAACCTGCCTGGCAAGTCTAAGTTCAGAATCCTGGGGATGTTCCAGTTGAAAGTAGAAATTGATGGAGTCTGGAATTCTTCTTCGAATGATGGTCCCTATGTGGATTCCAAATGTGCGTGCCATGCACCAGAGCTGGAACTGTTTGTAGTAGTGGTGTTTGTTGACCCGCACATGTGTTGGCCACGTGGTACATCTGAGGCTTTTGGGGTCGACGCCATTCCAGTTCCCTCTTACTGCTGCATGGCCAGAGTTTGAACCCCCTGTTCCTCAGTGCTCTTAGCCTGCTAAGAGAACTTTTTGTCTCTTTTTTCCTGTAAATAGTTTCCTCTAGTTGTATATAGTTGTCCATCGTTGTTAGTTAGGTCTCCCCTTTTTTCCCCTCACGGGGTGCTCCCCATCCCAGGGCTATGCCCCAGCACGCTGGCTTTAAAAGCTGTGCTTCATGCCCGCTTTCCTTTGTGAGCGATGAACACCAATGCTGTCTCTGTTGCCTCAGCAAAGCTCACATCGTCGCCCATAGCTCCATCTGCCACTTCTTCCCATCTCGAACTCGGGAAGCTGGAAGAACTTCACCTCCTCAAACACCTCATGTAGGAGACTGTGCACCCACGTGAGCAATTGGATCCAGTGCTGACAGATCAACTGGAGCACTGGCTGTTGCCCACGGTGAGCGCTTCTCCGGGCCCTTCCCATGTGGCGCCAGCGGTACTGCTGAAGCCCCACCATGTGCATAAGAACCACAGACGTGGGTGTAAGGGTGACTCCCTGATGGCAACCACCTCCAAATGCAGCATTGCCTCCCCGAGCTGTGCCAGGTTGGGTGAGAAGTTGCGCATCGAGCCAGCCGCTCCACCTCCAAAGAAATCTCGTACGGAGCCTAAGTCCACACAACACTGCATCCCGCCAGTGCCACTTCTGGCCATGGTGGCCCACTGCCTTCACCCCCGGAGCTGTCAACATGGCCAGGACCATCCGGACTTTCACGCCTGGTCCCACGCATGCTGGGATGCTTGTCCTCTTTGATGCCGGCGGCCGAGCTCATGCTGCCGTACGCTGGTGCCCCTCAGTGCTCTGGCTCTCCAGCCGTGGTGAGGCTTCCATCTATGGCGGATTAACCTCTCCTGCTCTGGCAGCATCCTGCTTCGCTCTGCCTGTCTCCGCTGGCACTGTCGACCACTGAACCTCTCCTGCTCCTGGACCGCCACACCTTGCACAGGCCCTGCCTTTACCGAATCTGTCTTCTGATTTGGAGAGGTCCCCTGAGCTGGAACATGCCTTCTCACCTTTGTGTTCCTGTAGCCTGAACCCTCAGTGCCAGCTCTACCCACCTGTGTACAGTCCCTCTGCCGAGACATGGTTCCATAACCCTCGGGGACTGGTGATGCCTGCGGATCTGTATGACTGGCCCCACTGGGACCCTTACCAGGACTGCGGGGTACCTTCTCTGCCACATCACCAACGGTCTCCGACCCACACTGCCTCTCCCTCCGCCTATACGGAAACCCAGGGCATTGCCACATCGCCAATCCCTACTGGGGCCTCTTCGTCCCCAAATGATGTGCTCCTCCCTCATCCCCATACGAGGGCCTACTTCATCGTATGGCTGCAGCCCTCAGCCTGCAAGTGGAAGACGTTCAGGACCCCCAGAACCAATTCGTGGCCATCCTACATCCTTTGGACAGGCGTTGCGGAAAGGTGGAAACGGTACAGGTAGCAGCAGCAGAGTAGTGAGGGGGCTGTGTGTGTGGGTGTTGGGGGGAAAGGGTCAAAAGGACGGCTGCTGCCACCTACCGTTAAGGCTGGGGTATAGATGCCCAGTGAGCGGAGGGTGGCACAGAAGTCCTTAAGGGAGTGGAGGAATTCATCTGTTTTATTGCTGAAGAGCTTGTAGTTGTCAAAGGGAACATCCTCTAAGGTAGTCTGGACCTCTTTCAGAAAACCGCTGAAATGAAGCCATGAATTGTGGCACAGCACCACCCTGGATGCCAGTCAGTGGTGTCAACCGTGGCTTGGAGGGCCACCTTGGCAACTAGCTTGCCCTCGTCCAGGAGGTTCTTCTACCCCAGAGGAGCTCTCGGTCCTGGCTCACAGGGTGATCCCTCTCTCATTCCCTGCACCACCAACCTACACTACACCTTCTCACCCATCTCCCTGCTCCCACAAGTCCTGCACAAGGTGCAGCGGGATTATACTATAGTCTTTCTCATAGCCCCCTCCTGGCATCACCAGTATTTGTTCACAGATCTCCTTTGCCTTTCCACTTACCCCCCTCCAATCTGCCTCCCAAATCTCCTCACAAAGGCGCACAGCCACCTGTGGCACCCCAACCCAGGCCCTCTCCACCTCATGGCTTGGTATTTGGATGGGGCTTGCATGTAGACAGGGCATGCTCTGACCCGTGTGTGACAGCCTCACTCACAGCAGACAACTGTCCACTAGAGCCTGTTATCAGGTTAAATGGCGCCGCTTCACTACATGGGTGCACCGCCACCCCCTAGACTTCTTCTCCATCCCCATGCTCCTGGATTACCTCCTTCCCTCCCAATCAGGCCTTCCCCTCCTTCCTCCCTTGTTTTATTTCTTTTTTTTTCTTTTTTTTTTCTTCCTCCCCCCACCTTTCTATCTATGAACTATTGATCTATTGTGCAGAAACCTACTCTCTCTTGGGCCCTGAACCTTGACCTCTACACCCTCATTAAGCCACCCTTTGAACCCCTTGTGACCTGCTCCCTCACCCATCTCTCCACAAAGGTGACCTTTTTGGTGGCCATCACCTCTGCACAGTGAGTTAGTGAGCTGGCAGCCATGATTGCGGACCCCTCCTTTTCTGTCTTCCACAAGGACAAGGTCTCCTGGCATCTTCACCCCAAACTCCTCCCCGAGATGGCCTCCCCATTCCACCTCAACCAGTGCATTAACCTCCCGATCGTCTATCCTAAACCACACGCCTCCCCCAGGGAGTGCACATTATACTCTCTCAACATCCACCGGGCATTATCTTTTTATCTCCAACGCACCCAAGCCTTCCTGGTCTTGCCCTGGCTCTTCCTTGCCATTGCAGAGAGCTGCCAGGGCCATGCCCTCTCTTGACAATATCTCTCCAAATGGATCTCTCATTGTATTGAGGACTTCTATGTGCTCTTTCATGTCCTGTTCCCTCCCTCAGGAGTCACGGTTCACTCCATATGAACTTTCTTTCCATTTCTACAGCTTGCCTTCAAAGCAAAACGCAAGGTTGCTTGCTGTTATTAGATGGCAGTAGAATCCTATCAGTCAAAACCAGAAGGGTGTGATTTTTCCTGAGACAGGTTTTTTCATAGCTCCTGTAAGCTGAGAGTTGCCTTTGGGGCAGTGGGGGAGGGCGGGTGTCCATGCAGAGAATTCTTCCAATATGGCTGCAAGTGAAAATCCTCTCTCTTTTCTGTGTACAGTGAGGCAGTTCCAGCGGAAACACATCAGTGCTGCTCATCAGATCATCCACAGGAGCACGGACATAGTAGTGGCTCAGAACTCTTCACTGGTGGGACAACAGGCATTGGGTAATGGAGAAACTGTGAGCAAGATACCAGAGAGTCCTTCTCCTGTGGCAGCCAGTTCTGCTCTCAGTGGAACAGCTACTGAACAGAGTGTGGCAGAGGTTATAGAGAGCCCTTATGTTGTCCTAGCCAGCCAAGTATTGTATGATACACTGCATGACGAGACCCAGCAGAGAGGGTTAGTGGTGAGCCATTCTGCTACATCAGACAGGCAATCTCAGGCGGATGTAGCCCCTGCAAAGAGAGAAGATGAGTCAGGTGAGTTTGAGATCTGTTTTCCCTGCCCCAGTCATTGGTGCTTAGTCCCTGGGGGAGGGAAGGAAGGTGCACCCGCTTTGTTCAGGGCACCATCCTGACTGTACACAGGATGGAGAAGCACCTCTCTCTCCATCAGAACGTCCCTCAGGGGTAGCAGCATCTGGATCTCTTGCAGACTCTAAGCATTGCTGCCTGGAAGCAGTCCTGAGCATTATGCCGTAGGAGCCCCTGTCCAAAGCAGTCCGTCACTGTATTTGGTTTAACTCCCAAGAGATTTTTACTGTCTAAACCTTAAAGATGTAGTTGAAGTATTAAACAGTGAAATTCCACTTATGGTTGTCAAGGGGTGGGAAGGTTAGTTCAGGGAACTGGGAGTTTGCACTACTTACATCTCTTCCTTATTCTGCCATTGTCCATAGCATGTTGAGGTTGGGGTTGGCCTCTCAAGCCCACCTGACCCCCTGGGTCTGAGCTGGGGGGCTGTCTGAGCTGCAATGTCTACACTAGCACACATCTGTCTACCTAGGGTGGGAGGCTCACCCCCAGCTTCCTTGTGTTATTACCACTCATAGGGTCCCACTAGCTAGGGCTGGGCTGATCACATGAGCCAGTCAAGCAGCATCTGTCCCTGATGCACTGGGGCTGTGGTAGCAGAAATATGGCTATGGCTGATGTGACACATTAATTCAAAGACCACATTTTCAAGTGCTTATAACTTTCCTGAAATGTTACCATTTGGTCTGACTTTCCTGATGAATGTATTTGGAAAGAGCATAATTTACATTTTGTTGCGTGCTGACTTTGCCTTGATGGCAAGTGTGTGATTGGCTCAAGCTCAGAATGTTTGGAAGGAACATCCTGCAAATGCATGCAGTGCATTTATTTGATTATCGATCTGCAAGGGACTCGCTTAGCTGTTGGACCTCTCCTTTTCAAAATTCCTAATTTTTGTAGAATTTTTAAGTTTTAAGAATCTCAAACTTAAACTCAAATAAATGCACCTCAAATGCACCCAACTTTTTCATGGAAACATGGCATAGCCACACTAGATATCAGAAGTGCTTACACATGTAGAAAGAAAGAAAGCCACACCAAGCTCTAGCTATATGTTTACAAATCCATTTACTGCACCATAATACAATGAGCTTATAACATCACTGTGTACTTCCCCTTTACCTCACTTACCTGTATAACCCCCTAACCATTCTGTGTACCAGGTTATATTATTTCCGTGTAGAACTTCAGGTATACTCTGAATGAAGCATTGTCTACACTACCGCTTAAGTTGATGTAAGTTATGTCACTCAGGGGTATGAAAATACCACCCCCCTGAATGACGTAAGTAACACTGACCGAAAGCAGTGTCTACGCCATACTATGTCGGTGGGAGAAACTCTCCTGCCAACATAGCTTCCACCTCTTTTTGAGGTGAAGTAATTACGCCGACGGGAAAGTGCTGTCCTGTCAACGTAATAGATCTTCACCAGATGTGCTAAATTGGCGCTGCTGTATTGAAGGCAGTGACACCGATTTAGCACTGTAGCGAAGACAAGCTGAGTAACTGCTAATGCAGTGTGTAATTCTATCCTTTTGAAATACAAATAAACAATTGTTTAGAAACTCAACAGTGCATTACTATAGGATTTTTGCATTAAATTTCCTTTGTTTTGTTTTTTTAGGGGGAGAATAAAACAGAAATGAAAGAATGGTGAGTGAATACACTATATGTATTCCTGTGAGCCATGAGTCGGATGGGGGCTTGGGAGAGGAAACAAAAAACAAAGCCATGTGACTACACACTGAAATAATCACTGGGCTGCGGGTGCTATGCCTGTATATGTATGCTGGCCAAAAGGATAGCTGGATTTTATTGCAGAATTAGAGGGGGTTCAGAGTAGGGTGATGAGAATGATTAAAGACAAGGAAAAATTCTCCTATGAAATAAGATGAAAAAGATTAGGATTTACCTTAGAAAGAAGATAAGAAAGAGAGGACATGATACAAATATACATAAAATAATGACTGGTCTAGAGAAGGTAGAGCAGGAGTTTCTGTTCTCCCTGTCTCATAACATGAACAGATAGTCAAAGAAATCTGAAAAGTAGTGAATGCAAATCTAATTAAAAAAAAAAAGCATTTTCACGCAACACATAATTAGAATGTGGAGCTCACTGACACAGGTTGTCTTTGAAGCCAAGAATTTAGCAAGAGTCAAAGAGGGATTGGACACTTACATGGATAATAAAAACAGTCAGACTTTCAGAAGTTAGTGTTAACAAAAATTTGGAAGAGATATAAAACCTGGTGCTTCAGGGTTTAAATCAATCTTTTAACTATTAGGGATTAAAATGAGGCCTTCATGGAAGGCAGATTATCCCACATCTGCCTGTAGTAGGGTTTCCTTCACCCTCCTCTGAAGCTTCTGGGGCTGATCACTGTCAGACAGGAGCCTGGACTAGATGGATCTTGGATATGATCCAGTCTCACAATTCTTGTTCCTAAAATCATGTGTTGAAATAAACATGCTGCCTGCATTTATTTCAGTGTGTGATATAGTTTTTAATGAACAAAGTGTTCTAGAACTTGTTCTGATCATAAAGGCATCCTCCTGTACTCTCTACTATGTATATGCAGTAGGGGGTAGAATCCAGGAGTGTAAGAACCCTAATCTTTAAACGTCCTATTTTTAGTTTTGTTTTAAGGGACACTATCACGGTGTACAGCATTTTGCACTGATTTTTACATAACATGTAAGCTAGGTCTATGGCAGGATTTGTGGTGGAAGTGTCATTTTATTGATGGAGATTCCACTGCCAGTGCTTTAGAAATTGCTTCCAATTGTCATGTGTGGTTTCTTTGTCAGACTTGGCTAAATGTGCTTTGAAGAAGAAAAGAGGCTCAGCAACAAGAGACATGAGAACACTCCGTTCCCTCTCCTAGCAGGGAAAGAGAAGTCTTTGGGGGTGATGTTTGTATCTGGAATATGCACAATGGATTCCTCTGGGTCTGCAGTAATAAAGATTGGGAACATTCTCTCTTGTTTGCTGCTGTTTTTACAAACTTGCCATGGTAGTTGACACTGGCTGTACTTTATGGGCAGGTTCTGTATTTTGATAGCTATGATGATCTGTTGACTTGAAGTGAGATTGTGAAATATGGCCCCTGGGCCTGATGCAATAATGGGAGGCTAGGAGTCTCATTCCTAAAAGCCAGGCTTTTAACAGGCCTGAGGCTTTAATGCAAACTATTTAAAACCTTATCTACCTCAGAAAGGGTTTGCCAGTATAGCTATATGGGCAAACGCTCCTCCTGGAAATACAGGCCCATGATTTCTTTTGCTGACTTACCTTATACCAGTTTTCTGAACAAAATAAGCTATACCGCAAAAGCACATTTTATGATGGTAGAACAGCATCTGCGCTAGGGCTTTTGCCAGGATAGAAATGTCATAAAACCACTCACCCCTATGTGCCATTACTATACCAGCAGAAGATTCTAGTGTAGGCCTGGTATTAGTGTCATTACAGAAGCTCCTGCCACTTTCTGTGCAATGCCATTCTCAGTACACCTGGCCACACAAATGCTATGGGCATGTTTGCCACCACTGGGCCAAATTAATTCCTTTTTTAACATTGCTGAAGCCCGTGATGAATTTAGCCCTAGAGTTATCCACAAGGGCAGACCTTGGCCTCCAGTCCAAGTTTGCAATCTCCAAAGGCTATTAGCCAGGTCCTATCTGCACTGTTACAATTTCCTTCTCCTAGTAGCCTTGGCTCTGGCCTGCTCTTTAGTCAGTAGATGATTTTGACCCTCCTTTCGCTCAGTTTCCGCAAGCAGCCACACCTTTTTGGAGGGGGCATCAGTATTTTCTTCCTCACACTTGCTGAAGCTGGATTAAGCCACCCAAGAAGAGCTTCCCGTCCCTAGTTTGTTTTCTCTAGGGTCCTGTCTATACTTGGTAAGTGACCATACGTACAGACATGGGAGAGGTGGAGACGAGGAGCCATTTTTTACACATATCAAAATCAGTTCATTTCACTGGCTTAGACACCAGCATTGGGCCTCATTCCAATATAATTCCATCTGACCCCTGGCTTTATTGTGGATTTACTTCAGTACAAGGTCAGTCAGATTCTGGCCCCAGGCACGTCTCTTACTCTCAAAGAGAAGCAGCATTCGCCAGTGACTGAAACGGCACCATCCAAATGAGCACATCAGCCTTTTTCCTGGCAGCGGCAGCGTATGAGGGGGACAGAAGGAGACCAGCACCCGCAGGTGATGGGGAAATGAGACCCAAATAAGGTGACTGCACAGGAAGGCTGAGGGATCACACTGGCCATGAGAGAAACTACCCTAGTCACATGAGCACCACAAACAGGAATGCAGCCCTTTGAAGGGGAGACTGTGGGGATGAGGGTCCTTGAGGCAAGCAGGGAACAGGCCTGCAGGACATTCCTCCCCACAAAAGAGTTCGGTGGGAGGGTAGTAAATTACTGGACCTCCCTCCCTCTTGGAGATTTGGGCAGGGAGTGGGAACAGGAGACTTCTAGGTTCAGCCAAACATGTAAACTTTTCTGCTTCTGTGACATCCAAACCTTTGCTTGAAAAGGGGCTGGGTCAGAGAACGGCATCCAACACCAGCATGCGGCACCTTTGTATGAGGCGCTGAGGTTGGGCAGCCCCTTGCTCAGGAGGAAGTGAAAAATGGCGGGAGGGAGTAAAGGCAACTGAGCTCCATGCTTCATCTCTGCTGTCATTTCCTACTGTGCTCTCTGCAATCCATCTCCGCCCTCCCCCCCGACACCCCTTGCATTTCCTCACTACCAGTTGGTTCACTTCAGCCTGGGCACCCTCCCTTTCCTCCAAATCAATACTTCCCAAGGAAAGAAAACCTTGCTGGCCACCGTGGACAGAGCTCTCCAGATCTGCTGGTTCCTCTAGAACGGCTCCTTAACATCCAGCCCTCACAACTAACTACCAGCTCTGCAACAGTGATTCCAGTTACTCCCCTGCTCATAGAATCATAGAATATCAGGGTTGGAAGGGACTTCAGGAGGTCATCTAGTCCAACCCCATCAGATCACCTACAACTGCTGTATGCTATCACAGCACCACCTGGCAGCTGACCCGAAGCTGTTTGGTACCAGATAAATTGCAAAGCCCAGCAATCACCTGCTGAACCTTTACCAGGATTTAGTTCTTCCACTGACAGTGCATTTTGATATGAATGCTGAGGCTGTTACCCAGAATGGAGCCTCACAGAGGACGCTCTCTGGCAGCTTCAATAACTGAGATGGTTTGCTGTGAGCAGAGACCATAATCCATGCTTCCATGATGGATGTTGAAAGCTCATCATGCTAACTGCACTGAGATAATTGCCGTTGCAATGGAAGGAGCGGACACTATTGCTGTTGGTGACAACATTGGCACTGAGCTGGTGCTGTAAGTACAGACACATCAAGACGCTTGAAGTATTGACCCACAGCTTTGTTCAGCCCTTAAATCGAGAGAGTATTTAACCTTCTGCCCCACTGAATACCCAGCTGGATCAACATCACTTGCCTGTTACCTTTCCGTTTAGAAAACAACAGCTTGTCAATAGCATCACAGAGAGACTTCCCCTTAAGCCACTGCAGGGATTATTCCCCAGACTTTATTTTTCAGTAGTCTTTTAAATGAACCAATAATGATTATCCTTAACAATTAAGGCACCTTACAAACATTGTTGCATCTATGTATCTCAGTTTCCCCAACTGTGAAATATCTCTAGGTGCCTGTCTCTGTATTTAATTTATATTTCTATAGTGCCTATAGTCAAAGGCCAGTATACTCCATTATTTCACAGCCACAGTATTCACCCCTTGCTGCAGAAGTATGTTCCGAGAATCTGAGCTTTCATAAAACAGTCTCTGTTTCTACTCCTTTTGTTTAGGAAGAAAACTTTGAAAACAGGCATCAAGTGGAACTGATGCAGTGTCGGCTGCCTGTGTTTGCAGAAAGCCTGAAAAATAGCTCAGAGAGTTGTGAACTGTCCCCTTCATCTCAATGGCTTGTTACCTAGCGATTATGACTTAAATACCAACATTAACCATTTCACTGCTGGTTGTTCTAGCAGAAACAGCCAGCCAATATGCTTTTCCTACAATCTCAAACTGAAAATGGAAATGGCATCAAATGGACTGAATTTAATAAGTAATACACACACGGGATCCTGTAGTCAGTGCATGATTAATTGCTCTTTTAATTCACGGAAAACCTCCGCTTTAAAATTTATCTGAACCTGCTGTAGCATTTCTACAATCCACACAGACTCCAGGGGCCTGCTGGTTGTGGCATATGCCAGGTCTTAATTCTGTTTGCTTACACATCTACGACAGCTGTAGACAGCGTTGTCCGTGGCATCCGATGAAGTGAGCTGTAGCTCACGAAAGCTTATGCTCAAATAAATTGGTTAGTCTCTAAGGTGCCACAAGTACTCCTTTTCTCATTGTCTGTAGAGGACTTCATAGTAGGTTCTTCTCTGTACTTTTCCTAGGAAGTGCTCCTGGATTGGGTTGGTTTTGTTTGTCCATGTTAATGTTTCCTTGTTGTCAGTTAGGGCAAGAAAGTTTTGGCACAGGTGCATCCTGCAACCTTTTCTGAAGATGGTCAGGCTTTGGCTCAGTGAGCTGTCTGGCAGTAGCTCATTCAACAGTCAGGCACCTCTTG